ACAATCTGGCTTTAAGAATGTTACCAAAAGAGATTTGAGAAAAATTAAAAGGGAAATATTTCAAGAAGCTGATGTTGCAAATGTAAACAAAAACAAATATATGACATATAAATAGCATTGGTAACTAAACTGCCACCTTTAAGTAACATAAACAGAGAAACATGTAAGATGGGCAAAGAAGTACATGAAAACTGAATTATCAACACTAGTTTTTATTGATAAAGGTGGAGCTATAGTGGATGGGACTAATGGCTGGGCTAGAAGTTGAGTCCTTTATGAAAATTGTCAGCCAACATACCTTAGACAACTGGTGGATGGGTAGAATAATGTTTTTGCTTTTATTGTATGCATGAAAAATCATAGGCTTCTTCAAAGTTGATGATGGTATCAAAATAAATGCAGGGAATTATTTTAAATACTTGGACAATACATTTTTTAGGTGGTACACACAAGCATTAAACAGAAGGGAATATTCATGTAAGACAATGCACCTTCACATATTGAAAATCTGACTATTGTCCACCTTAAAATGTTTTTCAAAGACAACAGAGTAATGGTATATTTCCTCCATCTTTGCAGATATTAATCAAATGGAAAAGTTGCAGTCCATCATTAAGAAAGATGCATATAAGAATGGAAATCATTGTTTGAAAAAGATCTTTGGGGAAATAATAAAAACTGTTGCAAGTAGAAAAATGAACACAATCAATGATTAAAAGATTGATAATGGTTATAAAATCTCTAGGAGCCTATATTCACATGTAAAGCCATAAAATAATTTATTCACTTATATGGATTATTGTTGTATCAAACATGTCTCTTTGGTCTATATCTTTTTTATTTATTTATAAATACAAATTTGTACTGCAGAATTTGCATATTTAAATTTGAAAACAGGTTATCAATATTTTGATAAGGATAGATATTGCAAATTGAAAATCACACTGTATTGTTCATATAAATACACTCTAAACATTTTACCAATTTATTTTTATAAATTTTATTGCAAAAAATATTGACATAATAAAAAAATCTGACGATGTGTGAATAATATATACAATTGGTGTGTGTAGTATTGATATTAATGAAAAATTTTTGAGAATTGCTGGAGAGTTTTTATACAGTTCAAAATAAAAATAAAAAAATCTTGAAAGTAAACTGGCAACACGAAACCTTAAACTTCACCCTGGCTCCATGCTAAACTCACCGTAAGTTATCTTAAGTTGTGAATTATAAACTGAGCCTCACTGTAAACAAACTGCTGAGATATGTTCAGCTGAAAGCATGGAATTTCTGAATACTTACTAGGTTAGTAATAGTCATCATGGTGGTAGTGTTAGTAATAGAAGTAGTAAAGGCAAAATCTGAATAAAATAAAGATTAAAAAAAAGAAAAAATGAAAAGACCTGTGAAAAAAAAAATTGCCAACATTGACATATTTAGATGTTAGACAAAATTTTCTTATCACCTGTTCTCTTTGACATTTTTTTTAATCATGATTTACATTTATAAACATGAGTATTGACTAAGGTTAATTTAGTATGGCACAAAGTCATAATAGTAGGTTGCCTATGCAACAAAACATGTTGGTAAAGAAAAGTTTTCCTTTTATTCATAGTCTTTATATGTATATATAAGGGCATGTGGCAGAGTGGTTAGAACGTTTACTTTCTGGCCATGAGACCCAGGTTCGAATCTCACCAGGGTCGATTTGTCAGGAAGGTGAATTCTTGATGTTATCGGACTGGAGGAGGTGATCCCAGTGTGTGGCACCTTTGGAAAGTGCCTGAAAACCATACCACAGGTTGACCCAAACCTTGTGAATTAAACTGGGTAGGCAGAACCCTTGGGGGGCTGTTTATGGCTATGTCAGCACAAAGTCACATTTCAATGTGACCAAAGGTTTGAGCATGCTGGCCTTGTTAAGATTGTTGATCATGCTAGATAGTGTACTTTTCTCCCAGAAATTGTAACTAAGGTCAGCTCATCATAGTTGTAGTATAAACCATAGGTGGGTATTGAACAAGCAACTGCAATAAGGATTAGCTAGCCACCTTAGTAGATGGGTATCCTTGAATACGAGTGGGCAGCCATCCATATATATATATATATATATATATATATATATATATAGTCCTGAAATATTATTTCAGTTGAGCTCTTGGGGGAGAAAGTGTGAGTTTGTAAACAGTGACTACTGCTCCTAATAATGCAAGACTCTTTGGTAAAACAAATTGAGTCTCACATTACCTTAAATAAATGCGCTTAAATTCACCTTCATCCCTGCCATGTGCCAACAACTTAGGGGTAGATTCTTCAACTGACGACAATTCAGCCAGGTTTTGATCCTAGCTAGAGGCAACCAGGTGCCTGACTGCACTGATGAGCTGTGATACAGCGAAACAGTCTGTTTGTGGATGACAGAATATATATACACACACACACATATCTGTGGATGAATATATATATATATATATATATATATATATATACACACACACACGAGAGCTAATATCGTCATCTGTAAGAGTGAGAGAGAGAGAGAGAGGCATGTGTTATTGAAGACTACGGAACTTTTTCAGTTAATAATCTACTTTTGTATTTTTCTTGCAAGTTTCTTTGTATTTGGGTTGTTGAAAAAGACCCAAGTCTTTAATGTGTTACCAAGTGCTTTCAGTTGTTGTCAACTGTCATCATGGTTATATATTTTAAGTAGGTTGCTTTTTATTATTATTTTTTTATTGCTTTTTATAGGTAATATATTTTTGGGCATTCAGGCCATGTTGTTGCATTAGTTCATTTGTCATTTAGGAGGGGGTTGGTATTTATGATTTGGAGGATTAGTTATTAAATATATTTAAGATGTTTGTGCCAGTATTAAATATTATTTATATTGGGTTTCTGGTTTTTAATTGTGATGGCTTCAAGAATTTGTGTTTTTTTTTTTTGCATTTGATTTTGTAGATGACTTTGTTATTGTTGATTAGAATTTTTCTTATTTCAGAGGATTTGAATCTGTTATTAGTGGTACAGTATGTTGTCATAAGGTGGTTGTTTTTTTATGGTGCTGGTGTTACTAAATGCTATGTAAGATGACATAAGAGAGTTGTCATTGTGTGTCTGATGTATGTGCTAGGATTATGCTGTGAAAAACAGTCTCAAAACAGGCATATAAACCTGTACACTACATTGGTTTTATTGAGGAATGGTTTGGGGGGGGGAGTAGTATTATTTCTAACAGTTAGGTTCTTGCCTTACATAACCCCCACCTGACCAATTTTCACCAGTGCAAGCTCATGCTCCCCATGTTAAAATCTGATCTTGTGTCTCAGGTCAATACATAAAATTTATGTAAAATCGTAAAATTTCCATAAGGATTACAGTTTTGATTCCTGTTGGAGAGCACATATTTTTTTAAAAAAAAATTTCTCAAACATTCAGGCCAGTAAATGTAATTAATACTGTTCAATTAAAAAACAGCATTTACTTAAATTATATTTATAAAAATAACGTTTAAATGGAAAATACATTAAATGATTGTTTTTTTTTTGGTGGGGGGAGTGATATAATGGTTTATATGGGTGGATGTAATTATCTTAAATTATTTTTGGATCATAGATACATGTCTTGTAATTTTACAATTGCATTATACTTATATTAAAAACTTAAATGTTGCCATAATTGTTTTTTTTTTTATACGGTACATGTAAACTAGTAATTATGATAGTCTTATTGTTTTTTATAAAAAGAAAAATTCTCTTCATTGGGCTACAATTGATAATCAAGTCTAATATTTTCGCTTGTGAACCATTGCAGCTGCGTGAAAATATGGGTCAGCTGATGCCTTTTGGGTAAGGAAGAAAAATATCTGTTGGTCAGGGATGAAGAAAAACAATCCTGAAATGCATTTTGTTTCCATGGCAGTGGTAACAATTGATTGAAAAGTAGTGATTACATTACAATGTTATCAATAACAACAGGTTTCATCAGAGAGTGAATGCTCTTTCAATCTCTTCTGTCTTATAATTATCTTGATTACATCTCACTTTTACTTTTCTTGAGTCTCCTCTTCCCACTTTCTTTTCTGAATTTTCATTACTTTCTCCTCTGCACTTATCACTTTTATGGATTTGACTGCTGAGGTGAGATGTGGTTAGAGGTGGCATCCTGATTTAGGTTGTGTGATCTGACACCATCATTTCACAAATTGAAATTGTTTTAGGTATGGATCTAGGGGTTTACCTTGATTCAAAATAAATTTATGTATGTATAGGGTTAATGATACCTATGAAACTATGAAATATAAATAGCAAAAGTAATTAGAACTTTACAGAAATATTTTGTATTTTGCACTAGTGGCTTATTAAATGTAGTCACTTGGTTGAGTTTTTTTTTTTTTTAAACTTAATCTTTACATTAACTTTGAATTTGTTGAAAAAGATTGTTATCAAAAATATTTTAAATACCTAAAAATATTGCTTCTTTCCCTTTCAAGATGGTAATATTTGAACAATTATGAAGGTGTCTACTTATAAAACTTGAAATGTTTCAATGATTTTTTGGTTGAGTTTTCGCATTCATTCAGGCTAATCATATGAAGATTCTAAAACACAGATTTTGGGGAGAATAGGTGGACTTCACATACAATTTGATTTTTAAATATTGGCTGGTGCTTGCTGACACAAATTCACTGCACCTGAATTTGGGTTTTTGGTTTATAATCAGGATACTGTGTAAATATGAATTAAAAAAAGAAAATCTGTTCTTTTTCTGCCAATGCTTTTATTTTTTATTTTTACTGGTGGAATGAAAACTACTGTCAGTAAATTGATTAGCTTGAGTTAACAACAAAAAAGTGAAATTTTTCTTTTAGGCTATGCTTGGATATTTAATTGAATTTTTTTTTATATATATATATATATATATATATATATATAAAAAGTTTTTCTTTTTACTATATTAATATTTTTTCTGATGCACATTTTTCTATTCTATTCCAGCTGAAAATCGAGACAGCAAACACATTCCTTTGCAACATATCAATTTGGCCAACCCTCACTCATTTGAAGCTACAGATTTGGCAAAACTTATCAAACAGGTGCAGACTTTTTTTTTTTTTTATCATTTTCTGTCAAACTCAAGGTAGAATAGTATGCCTGATCAACTAAATACATTTTAGGTCAATCAGATAATTTTATATTGGATTTTTCAAGTCTGTTGTGCAGGCAGTTCTATTAAAATGACATGAAGCTTATCATTAGATTTTGGTTTCTATATTCTGGTCAAGATGAATAGGAACAAAGCAGATGATATTGTCATTGACAGGCTTAGACATTTTGGGATTGAAAACGTTACCAAAATGACAAGTAGAATATATGACAACAGCAAAATACTCAAGGACCTCAAATTTATTTTCATGTGTCAAGAAATCAGATGCTTAAACTGATGAGTAGAGCTTATAGAAGTAGACTGGAAATATGGCAAAAATTGTGGCTTTGTTCAGGATACTGGAATCTAAAATGAGATTTTTTTTTTTTTTTTTTTTTTTGAATGACCAGAATGGTATGAGAATGAGCAACACAAATGTAGAATGACCTGTATTTGTATTTCATAGATTACTCAAAGACATTTGATAGGTCCTGCAGAAAGAGCTACTTGAAATATCAAAAAAGTAATCTAACTTCTGTGGAGAACAAACAGCTTGCATGTGGAAATAGAATGAGTTTAGTGAATTCACAAAAAATAGAATGATAAAACAATAGGGACGCGTTTTCTCATCTGATTTTATTTAATCTGTACATCGATATGATTCTAAGAGAACAAGAAGACTTAACAGGATTTATTCATTGGCAGGCATAATCTGAATATCATAGGATACACAGATGACACTGTTGATGGCAGACCCTGAAAGAAAACTGGAAGAGCTTTTAGACAAGGAAGTCAAAAAAAAAAAAAAAAAAGTAAGAAGAAAGGACTAATCATTAGCTGTAAGCAAAAGAGACGACCCAAGTTACAAGCTACATATTGGGGATGCCAAAATTTAACTATCTGGGTAGTGGAATAACAGACGATGGAAAGTGTGTGCTTAGGAATAGTGAAAGATGTCTTTTGGTAACTAAGCAAAAGATTTAAGGGAGAGGAAAACAAAGAAAACAGTACTGAACTGCTTTGTAATATTTAATTTCTAATGGAGAGCCATAATTGCCCATGTTATGAAAGAATATGTTTGGAATATTAGTCATTCAATTTTGGGTGTGTGGGAAATGTTAATTCAGAAAAGCCTTTGTTTCAATAAAAGCAGCCCGTGTCAGGAAAAAAAAAAAAAAAAAAAAATCTCGAAAAATATTTTTTTTTTTTTTTTTTTTTATTGCTAAATCTGCCTGATTTTAGCTTACAAAAATAAAACATCCTTGAATTGTTTTGATTGTTGAATTGTTTAAAATTTTTTGTCGATAAAATTTATCCTAAGTTGACAAAAAACGAAGAGGAAAATTTTTTTTCAGGGGAAATAACTCTTTAAATAAAATTGCACATTTACTTCCCTTACACTATAGTTACTTATAAAATGCAATTTCTTCAAATACAAACAATTATTCATACCACTCGTCTATTTATCCGTTGGTTTATTTATCTATTACATTTTTTTTTTTTTTTTTTTTTTTAATTATTCCGTAATTTTATTTTATTTTATTATTTTTTTTTTCAGGCTACCATGGACCTGGATGAGTTGGACAGGCAAAGAAAAGCAGAATTCAAGGCTTATGAGATGAGGAAAGAGCATGAAAGGAATCAAAAACTGGCTGACATGAATAGCACACAGCGGGCAGCTGAAGAAGCACGCCTAAAAGAAATGGAAAATAAACACAAAAATCACCCTACACTCCATCACCCTGTGAGTGTATTTGTTAATATCTTTTTATTGAACTCTTGAACTGCCATGTAATGTTTTATGAAATGTAACATAATTTGCCCCAAATATCTCTAGCCCTTTTCCCTTTTTGATAACTGGAGTGTACTTAGATCCTTCTCTTATGTCTGTTATCATGCTATCATCATATGGCTTAGTAAAGAAACCAAGAAATTTTGTGTCAGTTGGACAGCGATATTTCTGCTACTTAAAAAATGGTGGCAGGTGGCAAAATTGTGCTAATTACATAAAAAGCATTCATTATTGAAATGAACCTTATCAATAATCTTTGTACAGTTTTATTTTTTAAATTTGAGTGATTACCAAACGAGGCATCTATTTTCAGTGCAGAGGCTGGTGCTATGGACATGGCACTAGATATCATATCTGAGAGTGACCACCAAAAAATTGATCATATTCTCAGTCTCCTCATTGGTTCTAGTCTCCTTAAAAGAGAGAGGAGGGAGGGAAATCCATTGGTCATAAATAGGATCAACACCTTGAAAAAAACAAAACACATAATATTCTGCTGGATACCCAGTAACATTGGAATTAAAGGAGACAACAGAGTTGATTCAGCAGCTAAGTCATCCTTAGAAATGACATTGATAAGAAATCTAAGATACCCTATACAGATATGAAACCCAAAATAGACAAATACATAAAAAAGAAGAAATGGCAGTAATTATGGGAAATACATAAAGAAAATAAACTTTTTAAAATAAAAACCATTTTGGGAAAATGGACAATAAACAATAAAATAAACCAAGGAGAGGCAGTTGTCCTGAGTTGACTGCATGCAGGACACACATAACTAACACACACCTACATACCTAAACGAGAAGAACAACTAAAGTATACATGTGGATCTATTCTGGAAGTATGTAGAAGCATAGTTCATATCAGGAAAAGATACTTCAAAGCAAGGAACCTAATGGAACTGTTTGCAAAAGTAAAAATCTGAAATATAATGGATTTCGTGAAAGGGGGAGGACTATACAATAAATTATAAAATTAAAAAAAAAAATAAAAAATCAGATTATCTCTACAAACTATTTAAATACAATACTACTTTGAAATACAATACAACCTTGAAACACAACTTTGATAAAAAATTAAATAAATAATAAAAATAATAATTAAATAAATGGATTAGGCATAAAATAACCTGTCAGAGGTTGACGTAAAACCCCAAAAATCCATCAATCTGTGTCAAACTGAAATTGTAAGGGATAGATTGTCTTGTGTAAAATGCACCTATGTATGTATTATAAACATTTCCAATGCTCTTAAATAATCAATTGTGTGTAGAAATTACAAATAATTATCAAAGTTATTATTAATGAATTATGAGATGTTGCAAGAAATTGTATTCAAGTATAAATTACATAAGCCAACCATATTAAGAAAGATTCTTGTGAAATGCAGAATGTTGGAAAGAAAAATAACATTGCAAACTGTTTTCAGTTTCAAATTTAATTCCTAAATTTTTATTTTTATTGTGGTAAATAGTAAGCAGCTCATTAACATGTCAATCATCTAAGTTTAGAGAGAGTAAACCACTTAAACAAAGACTTTATTTTTTTTTTCCATTGAAGGACTGAAACCTAAGTACCTTCTGATCCTATGGCAGCCTTTGAAAGTTTTTCAAGCAAGTAACATTGATAATTACATATCATCTCTTCATTTTATAGTGTTATATAGATTGGACTAAAACATCAAAGGATTGCCTTTTGAGTTTTTTTTTTTCTACACTGACTACTTGTGTGAAATGTCATTGTCAGTAATCTTCAAGACAATATTTCAGAGACACAAAGAAGTGTTTAAATAACTGTAACATCATCTATAATTTCAGAATAGACTGCATTTGCTAACAGAATTGTTAGCAAATAGTCTATTTAAAATTCTTTTCATGTTTTCAGTGGTTAAAAAAAACTATAGTGGTGTATTTATGTTCTTCACCCCAGGAGTAATATTGTCCATCCAAATGTTGCTCTCTAATCTGATTGGTTATATAAATTTGGCTGCAATATTTTGATGGATTTGACCATGTCTACTGTGTTACATCTTTGATCCACCTCATTTCATATACATTGAAATTTTACAGTTGGAAGTGTTAGTTTTAGTTTTTGCAAGTTTTTCAATTCCTGCTTTTTTGTATGTTGTATATGGTAAGGAAATCTTTTGTATGCCAAATTTCATTATGGCAAAAAAGCAAGCAAATAGTTTTATTGTCAGTATACAAATGTGCGGAATGCAGCCAATATTTAGTCTGATTTAAACCCATGTTTGAAAAAAAAAATCACAACTGACAGTGAGTGTGTATTTTGAAAAACATTCATCACTAAATCATTCAGATAAAAAAAAGGACTGATTATCATGATATTGTATAATAAAAATAAAAAACCTAAAACCTGGTTCATCTGAACTTGATAATATTTTAAGTGTTGAAAATGATGATTAATGTGTTTCATAAATCTGTCCATGATAATATCACTAAAACTGGAGCAAATTGGCCAATTTTGACACAATATAAGTCAAAGAAATTTCATTAGGAGTCTAGTTTGAGACATTTCAATTGTAAATCAGTTAAATTTTATCCTTGTCTTACCTATGTCATTGACAAAAGTCAAGTTTCATGTTAACCTTGTAAAATGTTAATGCATAGTAACACCTTTTTTACTTTTGAATAAAGGTGAAACCTATAAGTGTTTGTCATCAGTAATCTATGAAGAAATGAACTGTACAAAAATTCAGTTTTAAATCAATTACACAAGCAACAGGTAGTGCACAAGTACTTGAAAATTGTTATCAAACTGATTTGGGACCTCTACAATTTTCCAGTCCCAAATTACATGCACCTTTCAAAAGAATAGTGTTCATTGGAGGAAAAAATATGGACACTTGTATCTCAAAATGTAACATGGTGGTCATGTAAATATGAGGAAATAAGAGCCGTGTTAGGACAATTACCTCATGTCATAAAAGCATTGCTTGACAATTGAAGAAGATCCTGAAACATATACAGATAGCAATGCATTATTGAATCTCTAACACAATTTTGACTTCATAATTGGATTGGTTGTGCTAAAAATAATACAGTCTCCAGGGAAAGGCTATGAGTGAGGAACAACTACAGCAACAAAAACTCTTATTAACATTTCTGCTACTTAGTTTTTAGCAAAACTTACATTGTCTGTTGTTGACAAGACACTGTGAAAAGTTAGTCTGTATTGTTTGTGTTATTTCTAAATCATCGTAGACATATAATAACATACAATACAATTTGTTTTGTGATGTATTTTTTATTATATTGTTGGGTATACTGTTTAGCTTTGTCTGTACTGTAAAGTATCATATTGAAACCAAAATTGCAATGCCCATGAAAAATTGCCATCAATGTCTTTATAGCCATTTATTTCCAGTAAATGGCAATTTTGTATTTTTTCCAAAATGGGCAAGCATAGCCAAGCAACAATGCAGCAGTGAAAGTGTTAACTGCACAAATGAAAAAACTTTGAAAGTTTTTTGAAATGCACTGAAAAATTAGGTGATATTACCAAAGAAATCCTGATTCTCATTCAGAGAAGAAAAAATTGGTGTCTTTAACTGCTAAATGGGAGGTGGGCTTCATACCTTTTCTAAGGCTATTTGTGTGTAAGTGAAATGAACCTGTGTAATGAACCTGACTGGAATTGGAACTTGGCTCTCTAATTTCTAATTCTGAGCCATTATCCATTACACCTGCACATCCAAGCTTATAGCACCTGGTATTCCCAAGTGGTCACCCATCTAGGTACTAACCAGGTTTGATGTTGCTTAACTTTAGTGATTGTCCCAGAACCAGTGTTTCAACATATGACTGTAATTCCTGTTGTAAAAATGGAACTCTGATTTAATGGTAATGTCCAAGACGTGCTTCTTGCACTTCTTTATTTTCTATCTGGATGTGTTAGGTGAGCACAATCAACTTTATTGCATCATATTGATTTGAATCCTTTAAAGACAGAGAAATCTGCTTGATTCAAAGTTTGTAGCAGAGTATCTGTCAGGTTCACCGGAAACTGTAACTGATGTTGAAACCATTTAAAAGTGTAATCTTTATGGTGTACGGCTGATTTTCATCCAAAATTGCTGGTATCTTGGCAACCACACCTGCTGCAAGATGTTAGGCAACATGTTCTATCAAGAATCTCAGACGAATTAAAACATACCTGAGGAGTACAATGGGTGGAACATGATTAAACAGTGTGGTAATATTAAATATTGAGAAAAACGTTTGCTAAAGTTAAACAATTTGTGATTTGGTCTTTGATAAATAAATTAAAGAAGAAAAAAAAAAAACTCTTAGGAATTGTTACTTTTGAGTGTTTAAAATAAATTGTTTTTGGAAATTCAAAACTGAAATAAAAATAAGTGTTGGAAGTTGCATTAGGCTATAAAGCTTAATATGAATTTTTTTAATTTGGAATTAAATATTTTCAGATGGGCAAAGCTCAACTTGAAGAAGTCTGGGAGGAATCTGACCATTTGAACCCAGAAGATTTTGATCCCAAAACTTTTTTTAAACTTCATGGTGAGTAGGCAAATATTTTTATGCTGTCTTGATTTTAATTTGCTACTTTCATTTATTTTATTTTTGAAAAGACGAATTTACAGCAATCTTTAAATTTGTGGCACATAAAATATCATTAAAATTATTAAGTCGAGATAATTTTTATTTCATATTTTAAAATAGTGGAATTTTTAATAATCAGTACAGAATTTTTTGCTAGGCTTATTCTCCAACATTCTTTAAGTGAAACTTTTCTGATGTATCATTGTGAGACATTTAGCAGACACATATCTCCTTGTGATATCTTGAATATAATACCCCGAGTTTGTTTCTTTGTTATGAATAATGATTACCTAGTCCTGCAGGCTACTATTGCTGTATAGTAAATTTAATTCTTGCTAAGTGCCCACATTCGTAACTGTAATTCAGATTAAGCTAAAATTTATAAATACCTTCGACATAACAATTAGAAATATTGTTAATTGTTGCCTAATCAACAAATTGCTGTTTTCTCAACAACACATACCAACCAAATATAACGTTCTTATTTTATATAATATATATATATATATATATTTTTATATATATATATATATATATATATATATATATATATATATATATATATATATTATAGAGAGAGAGATATCAGATAAAGTTCTGTTCAATATTCCTGAAATGTTACTGAATGCAATAGATACCCCAGAATAAACATGGAGGAACAAATTGAGGGATAATACTAATGATGACTTCTCATAAATTCTAACCTAAAAATTTGCAAATTTTTAATTGATTTTCTTTCTTAGCATTTTTTGCTTGAAGCAAATTTTTTTCTTTCTTTTTTATAATCTCAGATATCAATGGTGATAATGTTCTTGATCCAACTGAAGTGGAAGCTTTGTTTACCAAGGAGGTAAGTATTATAAAAAAACATTTAGTTAGTTTGTAAGCAAAAATAAACTTTTAAACATTAACTTTTGACAAAATTGATTTTTAATAAATAAGCTTATATATTTGTGTATTTTTCCTTTTGACATTTCTGCTGATTGGATTGATGAAATTAAATGCGCAACATTTAATGCCAGTGAAAAGTAATTGCATTTACACATGCCTGCCATAGAGTGATGTGTAACAATCTATTTCTACACATTCAGTCTTATACCAGACTCTATAATATCTAATCTACTTTCTTAAGATATGTGAAATACATCTATGCTGAATACAATATTACAATTCACTTGAAGTGGTGACATTGTTAATATTGTTCTATAGATTGATAAGGATTCTTAACTTTCTAGATTTAAGTATTTAACAGTTGAATTATCAGCTCCCGAATGATTGTTTTTATGAAAATAATTTGCCTTGTATTTGTTTTTACAAATCTTACTTGATTGTTATCAATTTCAGATTGCTAAGATGTATGACCCCAACAACCCAGAAGATGACATGCGTGAAGCCCAAGAAGAGATTAATCGCATGAGGGAACATGTTTTCAAAGAGGCTGATCTTGATGGAAATCATGTCTTGGATCAAAATGAATTTGAAGCCCTTACCAAGAAGGAAGAGTTCAATAAAGATGAAGGCTGGAAGGTTAGTTTTCATTTTGTTTTAAATTTACAATGGTTAAAAATTGTGGCAATTCTGTTTTTTTATAGTTTTCCTTTATATGAAGCATTATGAACAAAGATTATTACTAATTTTGACTGGTATTGACTTCCATCTATTTATTTATTTAGCTTTTTTTTTTTTTTTTTACTCAGGTTGTCAATTTACATATCAGAAAAGGACAATCTTGTAATAATTTTTAATTTTTTTTTTTTTACTTTGAAGGTTGTTTGCTATTAATAATTAAAAAGAAAAATTTTAAATGTTAAAAAAATTTCCTTTCAAAATTTTATTTTCAGGGCATATCTTCTAAATTTCTGAAGTTTCAACTAAAATTTCAAATGATTTAATTTCTCTGTGGATGTATAGAAATGTAAATATTTTTTTTCAGTGCTCAAAATATTTGAAATTTTTCTAGAACAAAGGGATTTTGATTGAGTTAAAAGAAAATTAATCCATACTTTTTTTTTATACAAATAATATCATTCATAAATGAAAGCAATAAATATTTTTAGTGAAAACCATTATCAAATTTTTGATGCTTGAAAAAATAATTTCTGTCAAAAAAAATATTTCATTCAAATTATTATGCCACTTTTATACATTGCAAACAATTCAAGTACAAATGACTCCAGTTCTATTGAGGATAAAAAATTTTTTTTCCAATCTTATTACAAAGAGTAAAAATATTATTACTATAAAATAAATTTTCATACAAGTTTTGGATATTTTTTTTTTCATATATCACTTTTTTTTGTCAAGAGTGTGGAAGTAGCTAAACTGAAAAGCCTTCATTTCAAATTATTCAAAGTCAGTAATTGTTAAAATGTTCAAATTGCATTGTCTTATAATATGCATCTCTTTTGCTAATATATGTTGCTCATTGGGTTCAAAGGGTTAAAGTGAGAGGGAAAGAATAAACAAATACTAGAGAGAAAAATATTCATATATTTTATCCCAATTTTAACCTTTAAAATATCTTAGATGTTGATTTACAAGAGGAAACCTAATCAAGTTGGATCTTTATCATGATGAAAATTGTTTCTACTAGTTTTTTTACTTTACCTGCTTTGTTCAACCAGTTTGAGGCTCTGACCTCTTCTGCTGACAAGGCTGAATGCTTTGCTCGGAAATTCTCATTCAATTCAACGCTCAAGTCTTCTGGTGTACCTATACCCGATTTCCCCCTTTGAACTGAGGCTCACTTGAGCGACTTGCACATAACCCTATCATCAGTTTTCTGGGCATCATCTCTAAATTAGACACCCACAAGGCTAGTGGTGGAGATGGGATACCAGCCATTGTCCTGAAGAAATGTGCGCCTGAACTGGCCCCTGCCCTTTCCAAATTATATAACTACTGCCTCAATGAATCTTGTTTTCCACCCTGTTGGAAGTCCTCATCCGTTGTTCCTGTCTTTAAGAACTCTGGAGACCCTTTTAATTACCATCCTATCAGTCTCCTACCACTCTTCGGTAAAGTCTTTGAAGCTTTAATCAACACCAAAGTGGTTATGCACCTTACATCCCATAATTTGCTCTCCGACAAGCAATATGGTTTCTGCTTTGCCCATTCTACAGCTGATGTGCTTACGGCCATAATTGAAATTGTTTACCAAGCACTTCATAATGACAAAGAAGCTTGTGCCGTGGCTCTTGATATCTCCAAAGTGTTTGATAGTTTGGCATGCCAGCTTTCTTCGCAGGCTTCAGGGTTATGGAATTATAGGTGGATTGTTCGACTTAATACAATCATTTCTTTTGAACTGTACATTGAAGGTTGTTCTCAACGGATTCTCCTCCAGCTCCTATCCCACAAATGCAGGTTCCTTATCTTCGTTAACAATCTTCCTGATGTCATAGGTTCCCAAGTAGGCATCTATGCAGATGACACTACTATTTACTCCTGCCTCAAAAACAAATCTAGTGTTGCCGACAAAACTAACCTGGCTGTTTGTCTTGAAAAGGACCTTCAATCGGTTGTGGACTGGGGCAGGTATTGGCTGGTTAACTTTAATGCCTCAAAAACAAAACTGCTCTCTATTAATCACCACAGAGATCCTTCCCTGCCCCCCATTAGAATGTCTGATACTCAACTCCACGTGAGCACCTCTTTGCGACTACTTGGTCTCACATTGTTCACTAAGCTGTGATGGAATGAATACATTGAATCAATAGCTTCATCCACCACTAGGAAAGTTGGCTCCCTATGCCATGCCAGGAAATTTTTCTCACCGGAATCGATCCTTCAAATCTACAAATCAACCATTCACCTTTGCATGTAGTATTGCTGCCATATATGGTCTGGAGCCCCTTCTAATTGTCTCAAGGTGCTTGATAAAATCCAAAGACAGATATGCAATGTAATTGGCCCTGACCTGGCATCTTGTCTGTAGCTGCTTTCTCACAGATGTGCTGTTGCTTCCCTCTGTCTTTTTTACAAATACTTTCATGGTAACTGCTCTGATGAGCTGCTTTTGCTGCTTCCCAAACTTTGAGAATTTAAGTGCTAAACTAGGCCGGCATCTCACTATCACCCTTTCACTGTTGAAACTGTTAAATGTAGCAGTCTCTTCTACTCCAATAGCTTCATGTCTCACACTTCTCGCTTGTGGAACTCCCTCCCCATTTCTTGTTTTCCTGATAGCTATAATCTCCAACTATTCAAATGTAAGATCAATTGACGTCTCCAGATGCCCTGATCTATCCCCTAATCGTCTCTTCATCCTTTCCTCTATCACTCCTCTTCGTTCTTGCTTCTACTCTGAAACCTTTTGCTTGCTTGGTGTTGAATGCTTTAAAAAAAAAAAAAAAAAAAAAAAAAAAAAAAAAAAAAGGAAGCAAGAAAACTTATTTTTAAAGATAAAAACATTTGTGAGAAAATTACGAAACGTTTTAAATTAAAAGATTACAAATGTTTACACCTCAAGCACAGAATTGTCAAGAGGAAGATTCTGTCATAGACAGGAAATGAGTTGAAGCCTTTTAGCCATTCAGTAGAGTTTTTGTCACTCATATGTTTTACATAAAACAGTCAAATGGTAGTAGAAAAATAATTCTTTCACTTTCTTAACAGAAAAAAATCAAGATTAGATACTTTATGGGTTTACAGATTTCCTAGAACTGGCAGAAAGAAAATGTTAAAAAAAAATCTGACATTTCAAAAAATATGTTGCAAACTCTCCGACAAATGTTTCTCCAATGAATAAAAGAAATTCTGTTATTTTATTTTTTTTCCATTGATAGGGTTTGGATGAAGATAATGACATTTATTCTGATGAGGAAATGGCGGAATATGAACGTCATTTGAAACAGGAGGAAAATCGTCTCCATGAACAAAATGCCTATGAACATGTTGTACCAGGGCAAGTGGTGAGTACTGTTTTTCTTTTTGGCTTCAATTTTTTTTTAAATTTTTATAACATTATACTTTTGCTTGAACAAAAGTAACTGAAAATGGGCAAGTTATTTCTTTCCTCTTTAATTAATAAAAAAAAATGAACATTTCTCTTTTTCTCACAATTTTATTTTAAAGAACAAATATGAAATGGTGGTGGTGGGGGTGAATAACCTCCTTTTAATGCTGGATAGCTGAAATGGGTGTCAATATAAACTGGTGGTTAGTAGCAAATAAAAAAAAAAAAAAAAAATTCAGCTGAAGTTGCTTCTCTTCAATATTAAGAAATGGTGTGAATACTAAAAAAAATAAAAAGTTAAGAAACTTATCTGCCCAACTTCAAGTTTTGCAGATGTAATCTGCACATCAGGGATTAAATAGTTTAATTTATTAACAGATATCTGTTAACAAAATTTTTTATTTGTTTACTATACACCTGTATATAAATTTTACATACATAGTGGCCTGAAAGTGTATAATACTTTACATTTTTCAATATTGTTTAAGAAATGAAACAAAGAATTTTAAATATATATATTTTTTTTACTTTGTACAATTAAAAACATCAATTTATTTAATCAAGTTTTTGAATTTTTTTCCCATCATGACTCACCTGTTTTGTAGCTGATGTCCAACTTTGAAACAGACTTCCTTATAAAGTTTATAGATTTACAGAAAGGCACCAATGATAGTAACATGAGAATTAAAGTTCTGTCTTGAGAAAATTTATTTCTTAGACAAATGTGAGGCTATTTCATGTGTGTCAGTGGGAGGGGTCATCTGGTGTGTTGAAAGTTGTTTCATGACAAAGTATTCTTTGTTCTCACCATGTCTGTATGTAGAATAAGCCAAGCCTTGTCTTTTCTGATGAACTATGGGAGAAAGTAACGACGAAATTTTATTACATGAACTTTGAAATTCAATTAGGATTTTTCATGTCAACACTTTCCCATGATTACAAATCAACATTTGAAATCTGGGACATTGTCTTATGAAAAAATGGCAAAAGTGTATGCCAGTTTCAAGTAGAGAGGTTGGTGTATAGCTAGTTTTGAGCAAATGATTTTAGGCACATACATCTATGGGCATTAAAATTGCCCAATTTAAAATAGTGATTCTAGATTTCAGGTAAAATTTAAGAGATGAATACCAAATACATTAATTTAAAATGTTTTAAATATATAATTACTAATAGATATTAATGGGAACAACATTTTAGTGAGCAAAATGAAACTTAAATTATTTTAGCTTCATTTAGAAACAAATAAAATTAACATTTTATTTATTTTATTGCCAAATACTATGTGTTTCAGTTGAAAAGTTGTTGCTCTTTGTGAGAGGGTTAAATCCTAAATTCTCTGCTCTAGGAACATACTGCTGTTGGGTGGTACAAATTTAAAAACTGTATTCTGAAGTGTAAGGTTTTCATATAGATAAAATTCTGAGCTTAATTACAAATTATCTCAACAAGGTGAAAGAAAAATCATCATTGAATTAGAAAAGCACCAATTTAATTTGGCCAATATTGAGTATATCTATAAAAGGCAGGATGTGTGTGTAACGAATGCACGGTCGCAATTTTCGACGGATTTGCACCAAAATTTACATGCACATGCTCCAAGTTAGCGGGAAGGCCAAGACTGACTTTGCATTTCCCAACTCCCATCAATAGTGGAAATAATCGATTTTTTTCATGCTTCTATGGCAGTTTTCATGTAGTTTGCGGCCAGAGTGAGAGCCTATAGCTGGCTGCAACGAATAGGCAGGAAGATTCTATTGGCCAGCATGAGAGCCAACAGCTGACTGACACGAATGTTAACTAGCATGCTAGCATGCAAAAAAAATCGATAGCTGCATTCGTCACAAGTAGGAAAAATTTAAATCTGCATGACACTTTGTTTGACCTTAAATGATCTCTTGCTGATTGACGGGTCGTTAAGTTTTAAACAAACAAACTGCATGGTACTTTACTCCAATTGGCTCATTCACTTGCTTAAACTCAATGTTGATTCTGATTCTGCAGAACTGGGTTGGGTATGAAAAAGTATTTGTTGTTAACATTCTTTTTTCATTCGGTTTTTTCAGTTACGAGTCCTTTTTTAAAGCTGATCGTTTTGTGTTCATTTTGTTTAGTTCTTTTTTCGTAACAAATTTAATGAGTCAAGTGGCCTGACGATTACATCTAGTGTTGACTTCTATGTTCACTTATATATATATAACATATAAACACAGCATATTGTAGTTCTGTCAGCTAAAATTAGTTGCATTTGGCTTGTATGCTGTTAAGAAATTTCAGTGTGCAGAAGAAGAGCCTAAAAAGCTATCACCATTTACTGGGACAGTTTCTCCAAGTTTGTTGGGTAGAAGAAGAAAACTCTACCTGGCTCAGCATTTATCAGTTTTAGCTGGACCTAAAATAGTGCAGTTATCAAAAAACAGAAAAAGTCTTAATGAAAGAATAAGGAAAGGAAATTAGACTGAAATAGGATAAGATTTGAATGTTTTCAGTTTTCAAGGAACCCCAGAAGTTCTAAGATGATATGCTGTAGATATTTCTTGTTTGAATTTGTAACAATATTGTGAGTTTTACAGAATATTCAAGATTCTGGGGAAACATCTGTTTGAGAATGGCTTTACTTTATAGCATGACTCTGATGAATTGTCCCCGCCTCCATAAAATCCGATCTAAGTATTATAGAACTAGCATGAAATCTCTTACAAAGTTCAGCTGTACATACAGTGTAGAGCAAAATGGAATTGGGGTGTTTAGTTCAAATTCCATCTGATGCCATTGTGTTCACTTTTGCACTTTAAATACCCTTTAGAAAAGTTATGAATCCATGTTTTTTTTCTCTTAAGCTATGGACAAAATAGAAGGGAAGACTGGACTCTTTGACCTTGATTCACAATCAGTCTAGGAGAAAGACAATTCCCAAAACCTGTGACAACTGGAACTGATGTAATGGCTTGTCCACCCAGCCAGTGGCTTAATAACATTTAATGGCCAAAACAGCATAATGTTGTGATGAAACTGACAGTTTGGTTGGTCAGGGTGACCAAAGTGAGTCACCTGGGTTAACAGATTGAAAAAAGTTTAAGTTTAAAAAAGAGTTTTGGTGGAAGGTTTGCTTATGAGATTTTATGCTTTTTTTACCTGCAAAAAGTTTGTATGTTACAAAGTTATTTTAGTAGATACATGTTTGCTAAATTTAATTTTTTTTTAGAAATAGGGCAATAAGTAAATACTTATTACTCTTTATAATCTTGCTGAAATAAAAAAAAAAATGTCAGAAGTTACCAAAATCCTCTTTGACAGTATTTTGTGTGTGAAAACTGAAAGTATTTCCTCTTGGCTGAATGCATTTTCTGAATAAATTGCTGTTTAATTATTTTCTCACCTCCTTAACTCTTCATTGTCCTCTTATGTAATTTCTTGCAGAATCACCCAAATGATCCAAATGTTGTCCATATGCAACAGCCTACTGACTTACCCCAAGGAATGCATGCTCAGGAATTTGTCCACATACAACAACAGCAGCAGCAGCAGCAGCATCAGCAACAACAACAACAAGAACTACACTTCCAACAACGGGCCCAGTTTGCACAAGAGCAGGAGCTGAAGCATTCACAGTTTGCACAACAGCCTGTACAGCACCAACAACAGCCTGTACAGCACCAGCAGGTACAACAACCAGTTGTCCACCAACAGCAACCCCCACAACCTCCAGGTCACCAGGTAAATCACTAATAAACAAAATTAAGAAATACATCACTAATCAAAATTGATAGGCTAAAAAGGTTTTATCTTTGAAAAGTAAGGTTGTGAATACTTTACAAATTTGAAAATCAGCATTCAAAATTCTAGTTTTTACCTGGACTCAAACACTGACCACTAAAATGGTTAGAAATATACAACAGTTTAAGTTACCTAGCCTCTATCTGTATATATATATATATATATATATGTGTGTGTGTGTACTTGAGGCTTGATTGATAAAGTGTGTGGCATCACTAATATTGTAAATAAACACATGAATTTGATATTATAAAATCCTGTTCAGATATGCTTTGTGTCAGTTTGTACATTAAGAATATTTGTTATGAATTCAGATGTAATACTCATTAATAACTGGATCTTGCATGTCTCATTCTATATGTGCCACAAAGGAATGTCATGAAATCAAGTGTGTGGATTGCTTACTTAAACAAATTTATGCCACTGGTGCTTTGTTCAATCTTGAACATCCAATGGGAATATTATGGGACTAACAACAAAGTCCTGGAAAAAGCCAACAGTCAAACCATTGAATTGCTGATCATTAAATACTGTCTTTTGTGGTCAGGACATGCAACAAGAATGGAAGAATCAAGGTTTCCATGTCACATCTTATTCAGTGAGCTCACTATGGAGTTGCCCTCTCCAAAGATACAAGGACCAACTCAAAGCAACACTGGACTTCAACATAAATCATTTGAAACACACACCCAGGATAATACCACCTGGCAGTGTTCTATCACCATCAGAGCCAAAAACTTTGAAGCCACCAGAAAAGCGAGACTCTCATCTTCCATCAATACTACCATTCAGTTCATGCTATCGGCACTTTCAGGCAAGAATTGATCTGCTTAGTCATCAACGCCATCACCATAAAGGAAGCGATCAGCAAGGAAAAAATTAAATTCTTGGATACAAGAGATAAAGCTGCCAACAACATTCAAGTTACATATAAATCAGCGTCATGGAATAATTGGTACAGAATTTTTGCCTGGGGGGTAATGTGAGTAATTTACCAAGTTATGGAAATCTTGCAAAATCTCAAGAAACACATCTACAGAGGAAGATCTGAAAGGAAAATTCTTTTAATCCCAACAATTTAAGTTTTGTATTTCAATCAACAAAGACTGTAAATGGTTAGAAACCTGAAATTCACAAATGTTGTACAGTTGCAATTTGACTTCTGGTTGTTCCCAAAATTGAAAGACATTGAAAGGTTAACAATCTTTATCCGATGCCAAAGTTGAAGTTGCTATCCACAATTGGATAAAAAGTAAACCAGAAAATTTCCTCATGAGTGGAATTGAAAAAGTGGATAGACTTTGAAAAATGTGTTGTACTAAATGGTGACTATGCTGAAAAGTAAAGTTGTAATTTTGAAGAGAAATTAATTTACTTCATGTTGATACCAGTTTCATTATTCTGTCTAGTTTAAAACTTTTTTTTATAGAAATTGGAAACATAATTGACCCTTTTTACATCTCATATATATATATATATATATAATATGGTGGGCATGGCACTGAAAATTTATTGGCTTGAAGTATTTCCAAATAGCATTGTTTGGTCAGTGGGTTGGGCTTTGGCACTTGATATACAGAGGATGGCTCCTAAAATTTTATTTGGTTTAATTTAAAAAAGTTTGACTTTTTTTTTTTAATTTTCTTCTGTCATCTTCCAGGCAACTTCATAATTCCATTCTCAATGCGTTTTTGTTTTTCTCAGCAAAGAATTACTGTAAATACCTTTTAATATTGCTGAGAATTTTGTAAATGATAATCCAAAAGTGGAATATGTGTGTTTGGAAACCAAGCAAGATGTGGTTGAGCATTCTTATTTTGCTGAATTGTTCTGACACTATCAACTAATTCTCAATGGTTTTCATTACTTGCTGCCTTCAGTTGAGAGAGAAACAAGATTTTATAAACCACTTTTGACACGTTTGATTATTGTTTCTTCTCCATAAATTGAATGGATGATTTGAGTTTGACTTGCTTTTATTGAATTAATGAAAATGCTGGAAATGTTATTCTCTAATCTACCCTGCAACAATAGCATTGTTGGTACATAACTTCTAACCTTTTTCTCTCTGCATTGGTTTGCTTTAATATGTTATTATTCAAACATTTGTTTAAGGTAGCCACTTTTTTATGTTTATTTTGCTATTGTATTTCTCCATATAGGACCCCCCCGCCTCACAGTCTGTTGACCTTTTCTTTTGCACTGTTCTCAAAATGTAACTTTTTTTTTTCTTTCTGAGAACTTACGGTGTTTACTTGTTCCCCCACGAGGACGAGATGTGACAGGTCTTTTTAAAGTGGGGACCCGAGCGCGTACACTCGGGCAAGGGACAAAAATTGCCCACAGTCCCCGCAATCGTCTTTTGCGCTGGCCTGGTTGTGTGAGCAACGATCCCTCCTTCTTGTGCAATGGGAGGGCGTAGTCTCGGGCAGTTGTTCCCCAGGGCTGGGCACCTCTCAGTATAATTTTCTCAGTTGCCCCTCTGTCCTTTGATAGAGAAGCCCCTGAGTGCACTCTGCCCAAAGACAGACATGCAACTGAGGGATGATAAGCCTGTGTTGAAAATCCCTCCAAAGAGGAATTTATACGCTTTCTGAGAACTTACACTGTAATTTATTCCTGTAGCAAACTATTTTTACCCATTAAAATTCTAGGCTTCACTTTTCTTCCCGCTTTTTCTTAAATTTCTTCTTTCCTTGTTTATTATATTTGTATATATATTTTTTTTCTTGTTTTACCCTTTTGGCTTTTAATAAACTTGCCGATGAATAGGACTTTATTTTCAGGGTTTTAATTGCCATAAGGTGTTAATCTGGAGATATGCTTGCATATGATCCATACATACCAGGAGACAGAACAGGATTATTAAGGGACAATAGAAGATCTGGATGATTCCTTTGTCTTTATAAGAGAGTAGCAGAATTACCTGGTGTTATTTGGATTTTTTTTTTTTTTTTTTTTTTTTAAAGAAAATATGTACTTTTGGAATAGATATAGATGTTATTTTTTCCCCAAATTTGAAGATAATTAACTTGAATTTGTGAAACTCCTAATGTCAAGCTTTTAAGTTACCTAGAATTCTTGGTAGGGTCATGGGATTTGACCTTCCATTTAGTAAATTATACCTTAGGTTCATGTGATTTTTGTCCAAGTGAAAAATTAGTTTTGTTGCAGAAAATGTTTCAATGCAGATGCTTATTCTTCTATTTTTGTAATTCTTTTTCTTAAAATACAAAAAAAAAAAAAATGGCATTCTTCTGGATTACCTTCAGTTTTTTAAAAGCTGTTTTATGTGAAAAATCTATTGTAAAATATATATATATATATATATATATATATATATATATATATATATATAATTTTCCATAAAAATTTTTTTTTCATTTCAGAAATATTTATCTACATTTCATATATGCTTCATTTAAAGATGACATTTAATTATTAATTTAAGAATAAGCTTTCAATGTTCTGGTATTGAGCTATTGAAATTGATTTCTATTCTTCAATGAGTGAAGTATGCAACTTCTCTAAACTAAATTGTTGGCTAATGGGTCTAGCAGAGTTCATGATGATACTTGAAATCTTCTTTTTATCCATTTTGATGTCTTGTGATACAAGTATAGATTTCAATAGTCATTGATAATATACATTCATTGCTTTGATATTCTAAGAATTATTTCACAACAGTAAAGGATAGTGATTGTGCCTTGAATTTATGGGAGGATTTATCCTCTGCCTGTAAATGCTTTGAGGATTTCTGAAGAAAATGTTTTGTGCTTAAGGTGAACTCAACATCTTTTTCAAAGAATTAAAGTGCTGTTTAATATTACATAATCCAGATTGTTGTCACTGCAGTATAACTCAATAAAAATTTGTTTTATTTTAGCAGGTAGCAGCAACCCAGAAAGAACACAATGCAGCAGCTGCCCCAGTAGACCATGGTCCTGGTCACCAGTGAAGTGTTTGAGTCAAGCCATTCTGCTATTGCTGCAATGTCCATAGCAACCAAAGCTACCAAACTTCAAAGAAATAACTTTTTCCTTCTAGTCTTTTTCCTTTCTTTTGGGTTTGAGAAATCAGCAAAATATGACAAAACAATTTGATGATAGATATTCTCAAAGAAGTTAAATATAAAACCATTCTATTATGATTATTGGTGGTGGTTAAAATCAAAGTTAGTAGTGCTGCATATATTTTGCATTTTTGAATACATTTTGCTAAAGCCTTAGTTACAGTTCTACAGTTATCTTATAAACTATTGCAAGACACTTAATGTCCACAGAAGTATAGAAGAAATTCTCTTAAGATGGTAATGCTTCTTAAGTCTTAACTAAGACATTGATGAGAGTTGAAAAAAAAAAAAAATTCATTAATTTCTTTTTGTTTAAACAAAAGCTACTTCTGCAACTTTGAGAATTTAATGTTGAAGCCAAAAGTACCCATCTTGTATTGGACTCCCCCCCCTCTTAAAAATGTTTACTTTTTTTAACTATTTAATTAAACTATCCTTTGTTCCTTGTAGCTCTAACCCATTGTCCATGGGTTCAGCTTAAATGGCAGGGAAGGCAAAAAAACTGAAGGCCAATTGGTCTGAGGTTCCATTCCAAGGATCAGGCTGGGTAGGATAGTTACCCCAAACTAACTCAAATGAAGAAATACTGACTTTTCCTAGCACTCTCCCCAATATCCTCTAGTGTGTTTTCCAGATCTTTTGTTTGGTTCATGTCTTGTTAATACATACTTATTAATTAGAGCAATTTTTTTATGTCTATGAAAGAAGGAAGGGAGATACTGAGCAAAGTAGGTTTACGTTGTTTTGGAAGGGTATCTCTTTGTTTAAATGTATGATTTTTAATTATTTTGTAAGAAAATTCAATTGATTTGTCTTAACAAAAGCCCTCCTCTGCTGGTGAGTTAATTTTTAGGCTCTTTCCACTCATTTGCCTTTTTAGAGCAAATTTAAGTGTACAATTGTCTTTTTTTTTTTGTTTTGTGTTCATGCCACCATTATTTGTAGTTCTTGTTATTCACCCCCCCCTAGCGACACATAAGATTTCTTTTTTTTAAAGCATAAAATTAAAAATTTTCTCAATCTTGTCAAATTGAGCTAAAGAAAAAATGTTAGATATAAAAATAGTAAGGATTTTTGTTCTCATTTGGAAGAAAATTTTGTTGAAAACTCTGGCTGTGAAATAAAAACTGGGAACTGCTGAGAAATTTGACATTCTTCCACTATTAACTACTTACCAAACCAGGATTGTAGCTTAGTTTTAAAATGTACACTATATTGTAGAAAAAAAAAAAAAAGGGTATGGTGAAAATTAGAATTTATTTTTTAACCAATTTCTTTCAAGAAACTGATTGGCCAAATAGTAAAAAGAACTCATTTCTGAGGGGAGATAGAATGAAGATCATTGATTGATTTGGGCGGGGGGATAAATTCTCCTCCTTACCCATTTCTTGGTTGGTGGTGGGAGTAAAGATTATTTAATCTTCTGTTCATTGATTTGAAAAAGGGTAAAAATTGGGGGTGAGGATAGAAGTTAAGCTTCTATAAAAAGAAAGAAAAAGTTAATAATAATAATCATCTCCAAGTATGAAGCAGGTAATATTAATTATTTGTGGTTAGAGCCCAACAGTTGAGCAAAAAAAGACTTGGAGGACAAAACAAGTAGCTTCAGTCCGCAATGTGTTCTTAAAGCAAAATTATCATCATGTGTAAATTGACAGCTTTGTGCAAAGAACATGTCAATAAATGATAGAGCTTTCTCTTGATTCTAACTGGAAATTTCTACACATGATGTGGCAGTGCTGGATTTTTTTTTTGTCATCAGTAAATCTTGAATTTAGGGTTCCTAACAGACTAATAGAATCCGCTTGCTTGGCTCAAGCCTTTGTATTATTGAATTGATGTAAATTTCCTTTCTTGATTTTTTTCCTCATCTCTTTATTTATAATTTATCAAGCATTCTGCTGTCATTCAGCAAAATGAGAGCAGATAAGGGGAAAAAAAAAAAAAAAATTATTTTTGAGAAAAAGCACCAATGGATTTGGTCCCCTTTTTGGTTGGGATTAAACTTTAAATCTGGATTTTTTTTTCACCCCCCCACCCCATTTATTAAGAAAATATCAAATCTATTTTTGCGTATTAGTTATGATTTTTGTGGCTTGTGTACTTGTTACAAATAAAATATGTATATCTTGACTTGTCTGTTATCATGGATAAGTTCTTTCCTGCTTCGAGGGGGATATATGCACAAAACAATGCATAATTGATGAAACCTTTCAGTAAAGCCTGGTTGATATATATATAAAAATCTACCAATCTAACTTTCCATTTCAGATTTGGTTTAAAAAAAAAAAAAAATCCAACTGAACCAGAATTTAGTGGAAAACAATTTCATTTTTCTAACCCTTTCATGATATATAAAAAAAAAAAAAATCAATAGAACAGTTCATAATATAGAAAGAAAAAAATTTAAAGATCTTTTCTTGTGTATTTATATTAATCAAGTTTTTATTAATAAAATTTTTATCAAAATAATTTCTATTTCCATACCTTCTAACATTAACATTTTTTTTTCTTTTCCTTTTGGTGTTGCCATTTCACTGGAGCTCTTAAATATCATCCAAATGCAAAACAACTTGCTATTTTCTGGCTGATGACAAAGTCTTCCTGGAGGATCAAACATATTGGGCATTGAATTTGCTTAAGAGTTTAAAAAAAAAACAAAAAAAAACAAACAAACCACAATCCCAAACATTTAATATTGAGCTTTGGTAACATGAAATAAATTTTTTTTTTTTTTTTTTTTCAAATTCCCAAACAAAAGTATTTTAAAAAAGAAAAGTTATCCAAGAATTATTTTTTTTTTTTTTTTGTAATATTTAGGACAATTCTTTTATGAACATCAGTACCATAAATTTTATATCCTGTAGTTATTATTTTACAAATATTTTAATATTCTTGGCTAAAGAGGCTTTTCATCACAAGACTTTGTGTGTGCACATATATAAACACACATCTGAATCAGATCCTTAAACAAGAGGAAAAAACTGAAATTCCCCTTAAATTGTATGTAAAAGATCAATCAAACTTTTTTTCTTTTTAAGTAAAGCCATAACCAAATTTTAAGTTGATCTGTGTAAAGCTAGCAATGATAGGCAACTTCTAGGATCTGAATTATTGGAAATGATAGGCAACTTCTAGGATCTGAATTATTGGAAATATAAAACTTTAGTTATTGATAATGGGTAACAAAAATTTAAATAATTTCAATTTCCCCTTTAGTTTCTCATTATGTGAAATGATACAAATGAATAAGTTTTTAATGTTATGCTATTGCTGTTTGAACATGGCAGTGAAGAAATGATAAATATTATTTTTTTTTTCTCTTATCAGCACCTGAGTAGATGAAGGCAGTATTTTGGTTTCTTTATAGAAATTAAATTTATTATATGGCCAGTGATTAAAGGTATTTCTTGGAAAGAACATTTTCAAAAATGAAAAATAGAATTTTTTTTTACTGGTGAGGGGAAGCTTTAAACACTAATGAGAAAAAATGACCAAAGATGTTTGTATGTGAGATTTGACAGAAATAAAAACAGCATTTGTATAATTTATTTTCAACATGAATTTCACAGCATTTTGCTTGACTAACACAATGAACATTAAAGCTCCTAATTATACACCTTTTAGAGTCAAAAATTCAAAACCCCCAAAATACATCAAGTTTTTAAATTAAAAACAAATATCATTTTGCATGTAAGATTTATATAGAATAAATATTTATTACCAAATAAAAAAAGCTTTACTTGCAGTAAATGTTTTATAAACAAATGAAAATATCACCCTCACTTTTTAGTAAGATGGTGTATGCACACACATTATTTATTGAGCGTGGCACAAGATTTGGTAGGAAAGGGTGTATATGGGTTAAATATCCATAACATACAAAATGTTTACTTTATCAAATAAACTTTCATGTCTTTAAATAAATTGCAACAGTATGAAATTTGATACATACTAAATTTCAAATGCTTAGAATTAGATAATCACCACATATCAATTTATTTGTATATACAACACATTACTTGAGAAATAGGAATAATGAGGAGACAAAAAGTAACTGACCTTAACAATTTTTGAATAATTATTATAAAAATAATTATTGAACTTCTTGACTGATATCATACAAGGTGATTCCACATGTGTTATTGTGGCAATTCATCATTCATTGTCTGACTGCTGAAGAAGCCAATGTACTTCATAATAAAGACAAAAGAACATGCTCTGGAAGTCAGGAATTGTGGAAGAACATCAAGGAAAAGGCTACAAAAATCATTCTATACAATGTTTGGATAAGTTCAATCCAGTGCATAAATTAGAAACAAGAGGCGGGGGGGGGATACAACTGTAAATCAAATTAAGATCTGATGCTCTAAGAAAGATTTTGAAAACTTGTCTGTTTGAATTGTCAAATAGCAATCAAAAATTACTTGGAAAAGATTTGGTTGATGACTTGGACAGTAGTAACACTTTGTAGTAGGAGGTGATACAAAAATGCTGACCTCACCAAGTACCATTAATGAAGCAAAGGCACATTAATTTACTAATGATAATATCAATAAAGAATATGACTATTCCAACAATATTTTGTGGTCAGAAGAGATCAAACTCAACCTATTTAGCAATAGCTATACCAGTGCTATATCTAGAAGGGTTATTGAAAGATGTTTATGATCCAAGGGACACCAAACCCACTCTGATGCATGGTGGTGGCAGTATTATGTTATGGGTTGTTTTCCATCTATGGACATAGTTCCTTTGATGGTGTGAATATTCCCTATGAACTTGGTCAAGTATCACACAATTCTACCAGAAAACTTATGAGGCAAGACTAAATGTTTTAACAAGACAATGATCCCAAACACATTACGAGAGGCTAAGACTTGATTAAAGAAAAAAAAACATCTTAATATTCTCGAATGGCTCAGCCAATTACAAGTACTGAAATTAATTACAAAAAAATTAAGTATACTGATTTGAAGAAAATTTGCTATGAAGAATGGTTAAAAATACCAATGAATCACTGGAAAAGTTTGAATCATTATACAAAAAAATGTCTCAAGTCAGTAGAAATTAACAAAGTATTAATTTATAATTTCTTAAATGTCAGACACTTTTTGCACCTCATTTTTTCTTTATTCCTCAAGTAATTTGTATATACTATTAATTAATCTGCAGTGATAATTTTGAAATTCCTAGCATTTGAAACTTGGTATATGTCAAATTTTGTACAGCTGTAATTAAGATACATTAATAAATTTCTTGTATATTATGAATATTTAATTGACCCACTGCATCTGCCTTGAGAAAGTATCAATTGGTACTAGTGGGGAAAAATATTTAACTCTCTCAGCCACAAAATGACCTCGCTCTCCTCCAAATATGGACATCAATTCAAATTAAGACTTTCTTTCTACATATCCTAAATCTCTTTTGCTTCAAGTTGAGTTGAAAGAAATATTCAAAGTAAGAAGCAAAATCTTCAAGAAAATAATGTTGGTGTGTAGGCGGCATGAAGAAAGTTGAAGCCATTTGGGTAGGGCAAATAAAGCAGTAAAGTCTGTAGTAGCTGCAATGTCAAAATGCACAAAAAGTCTTACTTTTGGTTGCATAAAAGTATCAAATTTTGGACAGCAGTGAGTGTTGACTGAGGATTCTGACCAGACACTAAATGGCGGTCAATGATCACGTGGACAGCATCCATCTCACTACCTGAGAGAGAAAAAGAAAAATAAATTAATGGAAAAAAAAAAAAAAAAAAATTAATTTGATTTCAAAGGTTTATTATTATTATTACTACTACTACTATTAGGATAATAATTGAGTCACATCTAGATACTTGCAAACCCCCTCAATCAGAGAATGTCTGAGTGTGCAGTGTCAACTAAACTGAAGGTATTTCTAATTGGGCCCAACCTGCAAGGTTATGTAATGGTTTTATCAAAGCCTGTTATCATATTGTGCACATTTGGCTGTGATGCATGTAACTGATATACTCTTATCAGAATAGGTGTCATGATGAGTATACTGGGCTTCATATATTTATATTTCGATTTTGGAATGTTGCTCTTTCAATAATAATAAAGATTTGAAACATGTGGTGGGCAGGTTTTAAGAGAGTAAAATTTGTTCCTGTTGTGGGCACCCTTGGGACATTGACTGAAAAGAAGGAAATCTACTTTTAAGCTTGATTTTATATCTACGTCACACAACCTAAGAAAAAGTACATATTAACAATATTGGAAATATACACACATCTTCCAAACACCCTCCAACAATAATCAAGCAGATCCCATAATCAATTAACCACAGGTCAACCAACAATTCTTTCAATGAAGTCAAAAAAGATTATGAAACAGCCTTAAAAAATTGTGGATTTTCAACAAGATACACACACACTACAGTTAAAAAGCCAAGAGGAAAAGAAACATCATCTGATTCAACAACTCATACAACAAAACCTAACAAACATAGGAAAAATATCCCACCCCCAACCATCAAATACTTTCCACAAGACATTCAACAGAAATACAGTAAAAATCAGCTACAGTTGCACGAAGAACATAACATAAATAACCAACAAACTATTTGCATAAATCAAACTGTAACTGCAGAGCAAAGATTGTCCCTTAAATGGCTATTGCTTGCAAAGCAATATATATCAAGCAACTATAACATCAACAGAATGAAGAAAAAATATACATAGGAGTAACTGAAGGACTGTGGAAGCAGAGAAATTAAGCACACAAAACATCCTTTACAAATACTAAACATGCAAACAGAATGCTTTCTAAGCATATATGGGAAATTAAAAACAAAAACCAAATTACATCAAAAATACGGAAAACTTACAACAATAAATCAAAAACTGTAAATTTAGTCTGGGAAGGTGATTTTTTCTTAGACAAAACACAAATTACTAAATAAAAGATCAGAACTCATCTCAGAATGCAGACACAAAAACAAATTTTTATTACATTACTTAAAAATTGAAAGCCAAAAATGAATACTCTACAACAGAGATAATGTAAAATACTTTATACAAAGCAAATACATTAAACAAATAACCAACCTCTAGAATAATTTGCAAACCTAACTATTACTGCCTACCCTGTCAGGATAATACAATAAATCTTACTACTCAATAATGCACCACTGACCAGCATATATAAATAGTTGAGCCAAAACACAACACACATGGCCTGAAGATTGTATTGAAGATCTTTAACAGATCATTGTGGCATACTTTAACACCTTTGTATAATCTATAAAGCACAGGTACTCATCCTTCTGAAATTCAGTAACTGCAAACTCTGTCTGGAGGAAAAAATAGCTATAATTACCTTTCTAGACGAACATAAATTACTAAATCAATGATCAGAACTCATCTCAAAAGGCAGACATGAAAACAAATTTTTACTACATTACTTAAAAATTGATTACTAAAAATGAACAAAAAAACAGAATAAAATAAAATTAAGTATAATAAATTAATCCAAATCAATAATTAAGTAAATAATAAACATATTAACCATTTACAAATTCATGCATAAACACAAGTAAACATAATGACAACAAATAAAGCAATCAATAATAAAGTCAACAAACATTATAAAATAGCTACAAAACTGCATTCAGATACACAATTATTTCTACTCAATAACTCCTAGAATAATTTGAAGCATAACCATTACTGCCCACCCAATAATAGAATAATACAATAGACCTAACCATAATGCATCACTGACCAGCATATACAAATAATTGAGTCAAAACAATTCACATGGCATGATTGTGTTTAAGCAAGAAACAGACTGTTGCTGCTGGGTGTTGGCCTCAATGTTCACTTTATATATCTCTATTCATTGCTCTAGAAAGTTCATAGACTAAGAAAGTATAAAAACTTTTAAAAAATCTACTGTTTGCTCATTCAGTTATATTTTGGGAAGTGGTTTAGGCTGGGAACTTTTCAGTCTGTGCATGCATATATTGTAACATTTTTCAGAGTTACTTCATTGATCCTAGTGAAAAATGCCAAACCATATGTTAAGAATTCCATGATTTTTGATGAGTATTCCATTATTTTAAAGGAATTCTCAATTTGATGGTGTATTTTACATAGCTGCAAAATGCATGAATTTCTTTGATAAAAACCTACTTTATTTTAAACCTTTTTATAATTAAGCAGTTATTCTCTAATTATCAATTTCTAAAAAATGGTTTCATCTAATTCTGAATCTCCAAGCCTCATTCATCAGTAATATGTGCTTTAATTCCTGGACAATAACAATTCCTTTTACCAGATATTTTAAAACACAATTGAGTGCTGAAACTGTCAAAAATTACAAACTCTGGTGTTTATCATCATTTTTTGTTTTTTGCCCCTATTGTCAGAAGTATTTAGTTTGTTAATGCAGAAAATGACCAACTCAGTGCAAAAGTGAAGTAGTAGTAAAGACAGTGGGCAACAAAAATACAAAACAAAATGTAAATTTTATATAACTAACTTTAAACAGTTGACATTAAAATACTACTAGGATTCTTAGTACCAGCCAACTTGTTCAGTCACCACATCTGTAACCATTAGAGTGAATCAAAGATTTGGTTTATTTAATTCTACTTAGGATATCACAGGTTAAAAAAAACAGTAGTAGTAATAGTTTTGATTGATTGATTTTTTCAGCTTGTCAACCTTTTGCAGGTTATTTAAAGCCAGAAAATATTTTTACATTATAAGAACTTTTTGGACATAATAATGATTTACTGATACAAGTAACTCGTAGTTGAGGGCAGGAGAGGTGGATTCATACCTTTCAAAAGAATATTTGCAGGTAAGTGAATATAACAAATCTGACCAGAATTGGAACTCTGTTCTCTGATTTCCAATTCCAAGCTGCTATCCATTACACCATCTTCACATCCAAGTTTACAACATCTAGTATTCCTAATCAGTTACTCATTTAAGTACTGACCTGGTTCAACATTGCTTAGCTTTGATGATTGTATAAGAACCGGTGTTTCAAGCAGCCCTCAGTAGTAATAGTAGTAATTGTTAATGGAAGGCAGAAAGAATACAACTCACAACTGTAACTGGCTCCATTGTCTTTGATGAAATCTTCTGGAATGATTGACAGATTTGAAAATTCTGGTTTGCGGGCCAATTCTGATACAGATGGCTGTGGAAAGGAATAAACAATGTTATGGTGAGATTCTTTTGGAAGTTATGTCAATATCCAAATCTGAAACTGACTGTAATTCTGTTAACAGTAAAAACACTATCTGGAAGATCTGCAACCAAATATGCAAATAAAATAAACAGAATTTCTTTCTACAAAAACTTTATATATTTAAAAAGTAGTTTAGAATTTAAAAAAAAAATTCACCGAATAAGAAAAAAAACAAACAGCTGCTTTTTATTAATTAAAAGACACTTTGAGGTTATTAAAGTTTGTAATTTCTGAAATTGTTGCACTTACTGCAGTGAGACTGTAGTCTTGAAAATTCCAGGAACTGTAATTTGATTTGTCTGTCTGTTGAGCAGCACAAAGGCCAGCAACACCCATTCCAATTGCACAGATTGGTTCTGGCAAAAAAAGAAAAAAAAAAGAAAAAAAAAAGAAAAAAGAAAAAGTGCTTGTGAAAGACAGTCACTTTCAATATTTTTCAAACCTTATCTTTCTTCCTCTAAACTCTTTAATTCTTTATCTATAAAAAAAAAAAAAATAATGAATACTAATGCCTTTTCTCCTAAAGAAACTAACTTATATTGACACAGGGTTGAAGACTGAAATTGAATGCTGAAATGAAGACAAAAAGCTTTATTTTATTGTTGCTTTTTCTCAAAACTTTCTATATCCTTCAACTTCATGTGAAACATTTTTAATTTTCAGGTACTACTTCTTTCATCTTAATTTCAATGACTTTTCATTACAGTCACTCAGAGTGTCAGTCTATGGCCATTAGTAAACATTGCAGATCAGATATATTTTTCAGCAAGACCCCAAAACACATCCCTTTTGCTATAGAAAGTCTGCTTTCTTGCAATAGCCATTCTATTCCTTGGGCTTCAAGAGCTTTTTAAAGAAATTTAGTTGCTTTAATTACAATTCCCCAAAATGATATCTTTCTAATTCATGCTTCTTACTAATGACCATGGATTTATTGAGTTATTACAATGAATGCCAACTAAACTTAAGAAATACCAATTGAAAATAATGGTTCACGGGACTTTAACAGTCAGAGGATATTGAAATTTGTGAGAAAAAGCAAAAATAAAGACAAAACTAATTAAAAATTAATCAACCATAATTTAGTCTGGCACAAATTGAAGATAGAATTCAATAAAATCTTGTCAAACTTAAACCTTATTTATTCTACTAAGCTTAATATAGTACAAAGTCACTGTATTAAACTAATTATTAATCTATTTTTCATCTTCTATACAGAATACAAATTCAAAACTTTCTGCAAATATTTCTCTCCCCGTCTACTTCCCATTTCTTTTGATATCAAGATTTTCCAGTTTGGCATATGAACTTGTGTTAAATAAACTTACTTTTCTCTTGGATGAAATGGTTGAGAATCTCTGCTAAGTCTTTATTGTTTGCCAAATCTGTAACTGCTCCAAAGGAAGGTGGAATCAACAACGCCACATAACGGTTGGCTGAAGAACAATCATGAGTACAAATATGAATAGAGGCAGAAATATGTGAAGAGGCTAAAACAAATGATTTATTTTCACAAACACAGAAATTATTAACTTTACGACATCCACCCACTTTATAGATGATTTCTCTGGGAGAAACCAAAAAACATGCAAGTGGGTACTTTGAAGAATTATGAAAAGGTGCTGACAAAACAGGTCAGATATTTTCTGGATATATTTGCCATTATCGAAGAAGTCATAACTTTTTTGTTTTGTGTAGGCATGAAGTCATTGAAATTAGACTGACAATATTAACAATTACTTCCCACAGGCTAACAACCTTAGATTAGAGCTATAAGTAATAATTAGTGTATATCAAAAGTATTTTCATGTCTTACAGAAATTCATTGCAAAGATTATTTAATGGACACATATTCAAGTATCGCATTACTTTATTGTATATGAAAGTTACTAAATAAATATATTAACAAATTGAAAAGTTTGTATTTATAAGTATTTAGTTTTTTGATCATTGCCTTGGCTATGGAAGGCATTGATGCTGCAAGTTTTTTTTGTTTTTTTTCACAAATCACTGTTGCCATTTCAAAATAGTCATTATTACTGCTTTCAGATAATCCTATGCCAGTGAACTTCACTACTGGTGCTATCTTTCTTTTCATAATATTCTAAAAGAGTTGGGCATCCATTTAGAGAAAAAAAAAAACAATTTTTATTTGGGATAGTGTTGCATACAATACTACTACAGGTGTTAAAAAAAAAAAAAAAGTTAAGAATCATAATATTGAATACATGGAATGTCCGTTCAACTTCCTGAACCTCAATATATTAGCAAATCCGTATAATATGTAAAGAAAGATTGCACCAGTTATAGGTAAATGGTAGGACAGTTGGTGCTCTTTAGCAACTGTAATACAGTCTATCTTTGGCTAGCATTACTCAACAAACAGTCTGCAGGAATAAACAACTTTAATATTAAATATTTTTGTATTTGCTATCAGACTCAGTGCAGTAGTTAAGTGAAATAACTATTTGTAAAAGTTACTCTAGATACTCTGATGTTGCTTTTATACTCAATAGATATTTATCATGTATTACACCTTGGTCAACGTTTTCTTTCTTCATAGAAATCACATGCTTTAAAATACAAGATAACTCTCTATATTCACTCAGGTTCTGACCTGTTGTTCTTGTAAAATTTACTTGAAAAACTGAGAATCATATCTCAACTTCTAGTGACGAGTAATCTCCCCTGACTACGTGTCAGAATTGTAAGCCCAGTATAAAATTTTACGAACAACTTCAGCCACTGAGGAATTCTCCAAATGCAAACATGCTTAATCCTTGAATAGTTAGAAATTCTGAGTTTTGGTAATTTGTTATTGCCTTGTCTTCAAGCAAGACAAACAATTCATCATGCTTAGTTACTGGTGATCCATTGCCTAGGAAGTACCTTCCCATTGTAATAATAGGGTAGCGTAAGAGGTTTCATCTAAATGCAGGTTAGTTTTTTTGCCTAACAGAAGACTTTATATCCTCATAGGCCAACCAAATTAATTCTTGGAGAATCAGATCAACATTTATTGTAGATTTAATGGAACTTACTGACTTCTTTACCAAGATTAAGGGATTTAACTTTCACATGAGTGTATATAAGGTATAGTTTAACTTAAGTTATCCAAATTCTGATGACTTGAAACAAAGGGTCTCAAACATGCAGCCCGTAGACTTTCTGCAGCTCAATTGGAACTATTTTTATGACTAATATTTTCCTCAAAATTTAATAAGTTTATTAAACTTGTCTCACCTATTCCATACTTTTGCAATATTGACTTAGACTTACTCACCAAGTCAATCAATTTTAAGCTCAGTCAGGTCTCTTTCTCTCCACAGAAGAAAAGAAAACTATTTTAATACTGAAGAACATGTCCTGCGTTAATTGATGCAGTACAAATCTTACATCACATTTTGACAATCAATTTTTTCTTTTTAAATTATGCATTAATTTTGCATTTTTTTTTTAAAGATGTACTTAATAAACACAAATGGCTGGGATACATGCAAACTTTTGCCTGCCTGTCTGTCTGTCTGTCCCTCTCCTTTCTTTCTCTTTAACAATTCCTATTGCTCAAAAATACCAAACTGATCTAATTTAGCTTTGTGGATCTGTGGAACCATGGTTGGGAAGTTGATGACATTTCCATTTATAATAGCCTTGGGATGGGCCTACTTTTGGCCTGCCACACATCTCCCTCAGAATATAATGGCCCTTTTGTGTTGTTGAGTTCGAGACCCCTGATCTAAAAACAGAATAGTGAAATTACTTTCTTGTGAATATGACAGCCCATTTATAAAGAATCAGACAAGATAGAAAAATGCATTTTGTAGAAATATTAATAGCAATACATACCATCAACAGATTCTAGACTGATTGGAGTGGATGTTGCTTTGGAACGAAATTCACTGAACCATCGACGATTCTGTTCATCTTGTTGGGTGAATTCTGTTGGTTTTCCCTATAGAAGGGAAAAAAGGAATGGAAAAGAAAAATGAAATTGTTTAAGAAATAATTTCCATTTCAAGACCAGATTGAAATAAATACTTTCTATAAAAAAATGTTACTGAATGAAAGATCAAAAAGTATTTTATTCACATATAAATTCCCCTGGTTAAGCAACTGATCAAGATATTCACTGACAAAAAAGGAAAACCAAACTTTACTTTTCTTTATTAAGTAATAATGAGGTTATAAAATACACATTAGTCATGGGGTATAAATGTCTATCATACAATAAATCAAGGTGTGTGTGTGTGATGGGATATTATATATATATATATATATATATATATATGTCTGTCTGAAGTCTACCTAATGATAAAAAAAAAATCACAAAACATATTTACTTTTTAAAACAGGGTGCAGCAAAAATACCTCTCACATAATAGTAAGACATTAGTGGCAATGGTGTCTTCATCTAGCTAATTTCTTACCATAATGTGGGAGGTATTTTCACTGCATCCTGTACAATATTTCTCCAAAGGCTATATATCAAATACAATATATAAAAAAATTCAGATAGAAAAATCAACAGTATCAAGTTATGAACTTATTGATCCACTTTAAAAATCCTCATCACATCTTTGACAGTGTCAACACCATCAACTCACATACAAAAAAGAAATGTCAAATAAGGTTGTTACATTGGATATGAAAATTTTAGATTGCTAGTATTAAAACAGACCCTGTTTGATTTTGCTGCTTGTCTCTTGACTGAAATTGTTATGTACTTATTAAAACAAATACACAACAAAAGAAAACAAACAAGATAACAAGAGAAAAAAAAAGGAGTATTTAAAAATGATATTTTCCTTATTTATGTTTGAAAAATATACATTTTGTTATGTCATAGCTTCTGAAGGACAGATATTATTTTCAAATTCATACATATCAACATGTTTTTATGAGTTCTCAAAGCAAAATTTAGTACCCAGTGTTGTTTATGCAGGTGGTATAACATTTAGTGGTGCAAAGAATGGAATTAACAGGCAATATTCAAATGTTGGTTGAAGCTGTAGCAGTTACTTTATGCTAATGTCTCGTCTTCTCATAGCTATGAATAAAAGAATAGATCAGACTGCATTCTCTAACCGTGGAAGAGTAATGCATCTTGGAAAAAGATCACTTTGAATTCAAAACTGTATAGAAGGTAACAGTTAATGAATTCACTCCATTTCCTAAGAACAGTTAAGGCAATTCACAATAATTTCTAAAAAAAAAAAGCTGTTTATTGGAAGGCACTCCTTTTAGATTCTTATTTTATCATTAGACATTCACAGAATGGATAGTCAGAAATGTGTGTGTGTGTGTGTGTGGTGGAAGGATTAAGACAAGGTCATATTAAATTATTTATTCAATTTATCATAAACATTGACAATTTTTGTTTAAATTCCTAAGATGAGGCACCTTTGTTTTAGTCACATTTCAGCTGATGTTCTGATCAAAGAATAGGCATGAGAAAAAGATTAAAAAGTCAGTACTTTTCTACCTCGTAGATAAAAGTGTTGTGAGCCTCAACTGCTTCCCTGAAAGTCAAGAGTTATCTCCCCTGAGAACAGAGATAATTCGCTATCATAAGGAAGAGTGGATAGATTCAGTATCCCCCAGAAAAGTGTTGATAGATACATCTAAATAAATAAAGCGCAGTGTACAGGTGTCCATTTTCTGATCTCGGGATTTATGCATGTGCATCAAATAAAAACAGAGGCACATGTAATATGCATTCGGGTTCACTAGCCCGTTTGCATTCATTCAAATGCTAATCATGAGAACAATAGAAGAAGTATTAATATTCATCAATTATTTGCAGCATTATGTTTTACTTGCGTAAAGTCTGCCTGGAGGCTTTCTCTTCAAATTAATCTATAATAATAAAGTGCAGAGTACGTATGTACGTCCGTTTTTCAATCTGAGCAAATCATAAACAACCTGAAGTAACAGGTAGTAACTACTGTAGTTATACATGATTAAAAATTAAATAACTCATTTAAAGTTAACTTTAAATATCGAACAAATTGAAAGGTTTAAAAAACAATTATTAAAGGTTTAATTTTAATTTCACTCTTTGTCACAATTGCAATTGATATTGTCTAATTAAACTGTAATTAAAGCTTAAGTGGGACATGGTATGTTGCTCATGTTTTTTTTTTTTCTTTTTCTAGCACACATACTGTGACATATTCTAATTATTACATAGTTCAGGTTCCCTAATGTCTTAAGTGTGACTTTATGTGAAGTGATCATAAAGAATGGTGATTTTAAAATAAAATAAAAAATTGCATGTAAAATAAATGTAAACAAACTACAGGGATTGATTGCATATACAAAGAAACATGCTAAATTAAGGTGTTGAATAAAAATAAAATCTTATTATTTCTAAATTTTTCTAAATTTTATGTATATAGGATGCTGAAGGTCAAAGGCTAAAGACCCAAAAGCCCTCTGCAGGAGCTAGCCTAAAGTCCCCTCAAAGGGCAGTTCTCGACTAGTTAGTCTAATAAAGTTTCTTAATATAGAATTGGCTCAAAAAGAGCCAGCAAAAAATAATTCAATCAATACAAGACTGTAATTTCTGCTTCAAATTTGAAAAATATATACATCTTGAATTTGTCCTCCAATCAGAAGAATGACTTCCATCCATCAACATTTTAAAAATATTTCAACCAGAAAGGTAACTAAAATTTTGAAGAGTCCAGAAGGCATGAAAATTATAACCTGAAGGTATAAAAAGGTTTCAAAAGGTAAAGCTATTTTGGCTATCACCTATGTCTGGGATGTTTCTCACATAAGCAAATGGAAAAAAGAAGTGAAACAAATGAAACCTGTGAATAGAACTGTGTTCTAAAACAGTAAAAAATTGTTAAGAGTCCTAGTGATGCAAATGAATTTGCTAAAAGACCCCTTGTTTTTTAATCTCTCAATTAGGTAAGTGCACCTTTTTTAAAGTTGCTCACTGAGTGTATTTAAATTTGTCCTTATAGAGCTATTATCCGAGAGGTGCATTTAAATTCCACGAAAAATATAACAGAAAGCTTAATCACAGTGCCTTCTCTGTCTTCATGATTCAAATTTTCTACACTGAATTAAAATAAAACATTAAATAAGATCTCATTAGTAATGACTTTCCAAATTGTTGATGAACAAATTAGACGAGCTATTAGAAATATTAGCATAAATCAAAAAGAACATAATACTTCCTCAAATAACCCTAAGCATACCAATCTGCTATACTGCAATCAAATACATTCTAACTACAAACAAGATGAAAAAATCTTAAAAAACTCATAAGTACTATTATATCCTCTACCAATTCCAGTAAAAAAAAAAAAAAATAAAACTAATTATATACTATACTAAATTTAATCCAACCAACTTAATCATCCACAATAACTCTTTTCCATCATCTAGTGTCTTGCAAAAGTCCAACATTGTATATCAATTTAAATGTCCTTTGGGAGATTGTATTTCTGAAAAAAAGTAAATATATATATTGGTTTCACAACAACAATATTATCAAGGCGATTTATACCACATATGTTGGATAAAAGCTCTGTCATACAACATTTAAAGACACATTCCTGTCCACCTTCACAATTCTGAAAAATATTAATTCATAACACTAGGATACATCACCATGAAAATCAAAACAAAAACTTCAAATTCTCGAGGCCCTTGATTTAAGGAGCAAACAACCAACACTAAATAAGGTTAGTTACGAGTATAGAAACAAGGTTTTAAAAAGTCTAAAGTTATAATTAAAAAATAAAGTTGCCTCCCTTTGATCAAAACATGAAAAAAAAAAAAAAACGCGATACCTTTAACAGTTAATTTTAACAGTGCACGTTCATGCATATTTACAAAAAAATTCCAACTATTAGTTACATTAATTTTTTGTCTTTGCAATTCACTTGTGAAGATGATCTTATATTTTGATCAGAAGGAAATATTTGTGCAGCCTTTTTTGTAAAAATTGTATTTTGGTCTGTTTTTTTTTATGTTTATATGATAAATGTTTATTCCTTTCAAATTTCACATAGTAGTCTTGGGTCTTGTTTTTGTTTGTATGCATCTTTTTTTCTAATTGCAATGAGAGAGGCGACATTCTCTCTTCACGCATTCCTAGGGAAAAAAATCGTTTTAACTGCTATGACTAATAATTTTGAATGATGTTGTTTAGTCTCTGGGAAATTTCTACTGTTCTATTCTTGGTTGACAAAAAAAAAAAAGAAAAGAAATAAAACATTAGTGTTGAAGATGCTAATGAAAAGGCAAATATGGACATGTATCCAGAATGCTACATGGGGAAAAAAAGATAAAAAAATTGGCACTAAAGGTGTTAAAGGATTTTGCTAAAAGGTTACAGAATGGGATTGATATGTGAAGAAATATCAAGCTAACAACAACAATAAAGATGAAGAAACTAATTTTAGCAAATTATTGGATAAATAATAAAAGTATTATTGAGTTAATCCCTCCATATTAATACATAGACACCACATTGTTTAGTATGAAAGAAACTAGCTAACAGTTTCAGAAGTGAATTGTTATAAAGACTCCAAGATAATAGAATGTACTTTATACAAACCTGTGGAGAGGTTAACTGGACTGTAAAGTTTGTTGTAGCTAAAGTGTAAGCTTGTATAAATGACTGGGCATTCACCCCTACAAAAAATAATTAAATAAAATAAAAAGAAAGGAAAAAGTGGAACATTATATTGATATTTTTGAGTCTGGAAGAGAAAGAAAAATTATCATGAATCTTCAACTGATATAAACATCCTTAAAAAAAAGAAAAAAAATTATTTTCTAGGAACTGATATTTTTTGGTTACTTTGCATTTCCTCATTTAACAGCTTATTTAATCAGCACAATGGTACATTAAATGTTAGACATTGCTGATAATGACAGAAACTATAAAAAGTACAAAAAAAAAGAAAGAAAAAAAATGAACTGTTTATCCACAATTTTGATTTGAATTTACAGCTTATTGAAAAATTAGAAAAATACAATAAATTTACAGACTATCAGTTGAATTTAATACCTCTTTAAATGAATTATTTCTGACTAAGTATGTGTGTATATACCTCCAAAGAAATGTGATACCCAAGGTTTAAAATGAATTTTTAAAAATGAAAATCTTTTTTGAAGCTTTTATTTTAGTTTTAATATTAAGCTAATAAATTAAATTCAATATTTCCAATAAGCACTTCAGTTACTTTCCCACTGCCATAATGTCACTTCATTCTGTGGTGTCTAGACTTAATGAATTTAAGCTCAGTACTAGAATGGCAACAGGCCCTCATCATTTTACAGTTGAATTGGCAACTGTAAATTCTATGCTAATAGTTTCTTCTCTTACACTTGTTGCAGAACTCTTTTGGATTCTGGCTTTTCCAGCCAATTGTAGAACTCTTCTGATTTCTTGTTTCCTTGCCACCAACAATCTCCAAAAATTTAAATGCAATGTCAATTGCCATCTGCTGTCTTCCTGAATCCTGTTCCTTTATTGTAATTTCTTCTCACTCATTCTCTTTCACTCCCTGTAAACTCCTGTGTCCTAGTGGCATTATCGCCTTGTTTGGGGGGAAATAAAAAAATTAAAAAGGTACTAATTTTGAAAAAAATATTCCCTGCTGAAATGGAGGAAGGTGCTCATAAAAATGATAGAATCAGAAGCATTCCTAAGGGCCCAGAAAAAGCATGTTATATTAAAAACTGTGATAAAAATCGATAATATCTGGAAGATGACATTTGTTTCTTGAAACATTTGTCGAAAATAAAAATGGTAAGGGATTGAATTGAAGCCATTTGATCCCCTAGAAGACCAAGATCTCCATTAAAAAGAACAGCATATAAACCTCAAGGGGTAGAGGTGGAAAGAGGTTGTAGAAGAAGTTCAAGAACAGCCAAAGACATTAAACCTCTTCGGTTTAGGGAGGTTTAATGGATTGATAAATAGGATTGTACCTATATATTAAATAGAAGAGATATAAAGTGTATAATACACTTTAGAGAGACAGGCAAGAAGTTGACTACCGATCACTTGTCATAGAACATAACACAATAGTTATCAAATATAGTATATTGGTTCATCCATCAGAGAAGGAATCAGCCAAGCAGAGATATCAAGAGAATGGGAGAGCCACTGGTCATAGAAAAACACTACAAATTTGAAATTGTTAAAATATCACTTCCACCAAAATTAGAAGAATGATGATATTTGACTAGCTCACTTGAGAGAGTCATAGATTCATTGAATGTTAAGAGAGTTCCAAGAATTCACAGGCTGAAGCACTGGGGTGGGGATCTGGGATGAATAGCACATTGATCCCACTGTACAAAATTCAAGAAGGCTGGTGAGTATACTAACAGGGCCAGATTATCCTTTAGGCAAGTATAGGTTGCACCCTAGGGACCCTTCAAGCTTTTATGAAGCAATGATTTTAATTCTTTAGAGGTTATAAATTCTAAAAATAGTTTCATAAACTGAAATGATATCAATATAACAAACTATTATTATTATTATTATTATTATTGATTGTTTTATTGCTATGGTTATAAATTTTTTTTTTTTTTTTTACTACACTTGTGCTAATTTGGTTTGTAATAAATAGTGTAGTAACAGAACTTAAAGAATATTTCTATTGACAAACAAAAGATAGTTATTCTAGCTTATTTAAAGAATTTGCAATAAATTTACTTTTATCAATGTAAAGGGTGACTTCGTTTGGGGTGGGGGGTGTTATCATAATTTCATTAGCTTAGGGGTTCCAAAAGCTCATATTTTGGTTATATATGTTAGCCAAAACATTAAGAGAACCACAAAGATAAAGACATTAGTGTCTGAATGAATTAATAATAATTGCTAAAAGAGGTGCTATTTTGTAAAAATTTCTTAAATTTATTCTTTACTGCAGTCACCAAAGTACACTTTTGACCTTACCCTTCTTTGTGCAAAAAAAGAGGTATTTTTTTTAATAGGGATGGGAGCAAAGACTAATCTATGCTATTGAATATTGGGAGATAAACAAGTCAAGTAATTTACATGAATTTTCTATTAGAAGATTTATAATTTCTTATTTTAATACAAATTTCAACGTGTGTGTGTGTGTGTGTGTGGGCGCAGGGGTGGGTAGAGGATTTAAATACAATTAGTTAATTTCCTGCAGATATCTGGAAGTTTAACATTAGGAGAGTAAAAAGAAAAAATCCCAAGACTCCCTTAGCTGACCTTTTGCAAAGGTCAGCTTAAAGAAATAGAAAAAAGATTATACCTCTCATCTTAAATAAAATGATATAGCAAGATATTTTTTATACTACCTCTGTTCTACAATAAGTGACCAATTTCATTACCTATATTAATGTAAATATAGTAGTAAAATATTTCTTATTTTTTTTGCTATTTCACTATAACTTTTATAAAGGAATATGCAAGTAAGGAATATTTATTTTGGTAAGGTTTATTTTTTTTCAGATTTCTATAGTTTGCTATGGATAGAATTTAAAAAAAAAAAAAAATGTTCCCAATAGTGAATTACTGTTAGTCGGCACTTTCATAAATTCCCTTTAAAAAAAAAAAAAGGAAAAAAAAATACCACAAATATACAAACAAAATTTTATTGTCAAAATCTTTGTATTATTATTAAGAAGAGAAAAGATCAAAATATTTTTTCATGTCAAAAAATTTTTTTTTTTTTTTATACTTTTTCGAACTTTGGAAATTTTGTTTAAAAATCTTGTATTTCTGGCACCAACACATAACCTTAAATTTATACAGGAAATTTGAGCATCTTTTTGCAGTGTAAAACAGACTAATTTGAATTCAGTTTGAAATAGTCTCTAAGTATTTTGCTTATTGGGAATATTAAATCTAGCCCATTATTAGCTTAGAATTAAAACTAAAATTAAAGCTTCAAGAAATATTTTTCATTCTTTAAAAATTATTTTAAATTTAAGTATCCCACTGGGGGGTGCCTACAGTTAGTTTTTGACAATAATCAACAAATAAAAACAGAAATTTGGATATGAACATAAACCTACCATTTAATTTTAAGAATGTCTGGTTTTTAAATTATTTGGGTATATAATTTTATTTTTTTAGCATTTCAAACATAACGTTCTTGTCTCTCTTAACATCAGACGTGATGAATGTAAATATAATTTATTGATTTTTTTTTTACATCGGTAAAAAATGAAATTTAATTCAATGTTTGCGGGCAATAAATCTCTGAATTTGAAAAACAAAAATAAGTAAATTAAAACTATATACCATAATTTTTTATACAAAAAAATATATTTTAAGGGAGATAAACCAGTGTATAAAAGTCGTTTGAAGCACTAGTAAAAACCAATTTTTATACCAAGCAATTTTCAATCAGTGGTCATATAAACAATATATGCCAACAAAAATTAATAAGTTCGAAACAAAATACTTCGTAATATTCTATGAAAGGATTTAAAAGAATTAATTGTCAATAATTAATATTTTAAAACGTTGCTTCTTCTTACAAGTGGCGAGTAACAAAACAAGACAATGATAATTTGTCTGGCTCTAACTAGAATAGAGGAAGTTATTAAAAATAAATTGCACGAAAATACATTTTCAATACAAGGACACTAAAACATTTTTTCAAGACGGCTTCAGAATAAGATTATTATAATTATATTTTAGTTTCCAACATCGTTTTGGGGGCGGGGACTGAGTTCGTAAAAACAAATTTGTCTTGTAAATGAAATATGAAATATGTATGGTAAATACTGGTTTTGTTAAGCGTCGCAAAAGATATATAGAAAGGATTCATTAATTTTTCAGTCATTTTGAATCCATATAAGTGTTATTAATTTACCTGCTGGATCAGCACTAAGAACAAGAAGACAACTGCCTCTGACCGTCGACATATTGAATTTTGTGTTTGCAGAAGGAAATCAAGTGCAGATAACCCCATCGTAAAAATATTATGCAAGGGAAGTAATTCCTATTTGGCTTTGTTCAAGTTATTTGCCCTAATTCCGAAAAGTGTGTTTCAATATTAATTATTAAATTGATTAATAATCAAGAACTGTCTTTGTTTGACTGTGTTAATGTATTAAAGATTATTTGGTGAAAAATATCGAAATGCTAACAAATTTAATACACAATTTTGTTTTTGATTTCTAACAAGAATATTTTTCAGAGTTACAAAACGTAGAAAGTTCTCAAAAATGGGAACTGGAAAGATAACTCATACTTAAAATCAGAAAGAGACAGTTGAAATTTCTGGCCATATAATGAGAAAGGACGACTTCAAACATTTAATACTCACACAATGCATTAGGGAAAGTGGGGATAGAGGGAAACAGCGAGTAACTTACCTAATGTGTGTTATACTCTGCCTCAAATTAGACCACTTTCTGATTCAGTCCACATGTCGGCTGGATGTGAAGGTTAAGAAAACAACAAATAAAAAAATCGTCCTCCGTGCAGGGTTTTCGAGCATCACATCCGATTCACAAAACAAAATTCCTCAAAAAAATTTAAAGCACAGCAAAAAAGGGGCCAATCATGAACGTTGCCATCAAAGAAAAAAAAAGATGAGTCAAGAGAAGCCACCACATTTGCTTTTAAGAAAGCCGATCATAAATTACTGGGGCAGAATCACGGCAAACGGGCTGGCTGTCGACGCTCGGCAAACTCTCAGCGTCACCATCTGTATCCTCGGTCAACTAACCCGACAAACACATCAACTTCTGGCCCTATCAACTCTAGCCCAATTCCAAGTCACTTACTTTGCCCACAAAGAGATAATCTACTCACATCCTCTGTATGAGTAATACAAATATTTTTATATTAACAATTCTTATCTTCATTTGTTCTTTCGTGCTACCATACGCGTGTTTATAACATGTGTTTGTCTGAATGCAAAACAGCAGAGACAAAAGGGAATGTTGAAAAGTCAAATGTTGCTTAGTTACAATGGAGAATTATAATCGAACATATCCTAAAGGCTCACGGCATATAAATTATGATAATGAAGATGAGGATATGTGTGTTAAATGTCATAACTTTGCCCATCAGACATTTTTATACATGACGCACAAAGAAAGGAATACTGAAAAAGTAAGCTTTATGTCATAGTCGATATTGTGATTAGCAAATGCACTTATATTTAGAGATCATTCAGAATATTAAAACTTACAAAAAATCTTACACACACATCCTTTGGTGGCTAGACACTTAAACAGAAACAATGGTGAGGAAAAGTAACAGTAAAAAAATAATTAATTTAAAAGATAAAAAACAAAAATGGGGAAATAGATTATAATTAAATTCAGATTCATATTTCAGATCAAATGATGAAGAAGATTTTTACAAAACCATTTTAACAACTGACTAAATTATAAAAAAATATGTGACAAAATATATCTTTATGTCACTTACCATAACCTAAGAGCGAAGACATTATTAACCAATGAAATGTTCGGATGGGACTTTTCTTAATAAGCCTTGATTTTGAGTCTGCTTATGGCGGCGCTGTATTTGACTCAGTGTAATAGAAATCAAGCGAAATTTGAAAGACGCGATAATTTGAAAAATACCTTCGTGAGTTTGCCGACTTAAATATAAACAATGTTGTCGACCGATGAAATTTAGGCCTTATTCATTGATAGTTACACAGATTGGAGTCAAGTGCATCAATTAATATTTAGCAGAGAGCGAGAAGAGCCTAGACTCCGAAACGACACGTGGTCAACACAAACTCCGGACATCATGCCAAAACTAAACTTAACTTTAAGCAAATGCCGAACAAACATTTCTTGAAGATGCTACCATAATTCGTCATTCCTCATTCTACAGCAGATGCTTCACTATGAAGAATGACTCTCGGCTTCAGACAGGTCAGAACATTAACAAGGTATGAACTTTCGCTGTATATACCTTTACCAAATATATTTTTTAACTATTTCAACTAATATATTTCACATTAACATTTTTCTCAGCCTAGTTTAATTTTTATCAGTCATTCAAAGGAATATTTTCAACAATTTTTTACACCTTTCTTTTCTTTTCATATAAATTAATTGTAAATAAACAGTTTCTTTCTGTTTTAATTTCACACTAAGTGTCCTTTCTTGTGCCGTTAATGAACGAAGTAACTTTTCTTTTTCTTTTTTTTTACATCTTTATCTAAACCCAATATATTAAGTAAATTTGTGCAAAGTATTGGGGTTTTATGAATTTATTTCTTTTACGATGATATTTCAGAGGCGGTAACGAAAAAAGACAAAAGACAAAGTGAAATTTGAAAAGAAACGAACATCTATTGGAATATCAAAAAGTCTTTTCGCAACATGAAATTGTACAAAATATAAAATAGGCCTTGCACAGAATTTATCTTGTGCGCTACAAAATAATCATGACAGAATAATAGTTCTTGTATAAATTAAATTTTATATTTTCTTTTAAAAAAACAGTTCATGTAAATCAGTTTTCTCTTTTCTTTTAGGAACAATAAAAGAATTTTACTTACATCGTAAGTTTTCAAGTTCGAAAGGTGAGAAAGCATTACCTATATCAAGCGGCGATGGTTTTCTAGTTTTTTTAGGACAAGATCTTCAGCTTTTGAAATAGTCTTTCCCAGATATGAGATAAAAATTTCAAGTTTTTGAAATAGACATTCGAATGTATGGTATAAAAATTTTAAGTTTTGAAGATTCTTCTTTTTCTTCCTATTCCTACTCTTCCTCTTCTTCTTCTGTTAGGAAGATCCTGCATATAGCAGTCTTTACGCTTCAGACGGTTGAATCAATTTCAATTTTTTAGACATATGTTCAGTTTTTGAAAGACTTTCGCAGGCATGAGATAAAAATCTCAAAGATTTACAAATTCTTCTTCTTTTTCTTCTATTACTACTACTTCTACTAATACTAGTGCTACTGCTGCTAATGATGATGATGATGATGAGATCCCGGATATAACAATCTGTTGAATACGACTGTTAAAATCCTTTCCGCCCTGACAGACAATTTTTTCTTCATTTTTTTATAGCTAGTTAGAGACTCCAAACAGGATAAAAAATCAACTCCTTTAGGAGAGCATATTTTATTCTCACTATTTCAAAATTAAAACCTATAGCTATCTAATTAAACTGCGCCTTTTTTTTAATAAATTTCAATTTAGCGGGATTTTAACAACATCAAATTAGACCATTTGTTTTGCAGAATTTTGCATATAAATATTTATTCATATATATATATATATATATATATATATATATATAAAAGTGAACATTGAAGTCAACACTCAGAGGCGACAGACTGTTTTATGTTAGACGATTGCGTCTCCATGAAAGAATCTGTCGCCTCTGAGTGTTGATTTCAATGTTCACTTTTATATTTACATACGCTCTATCTCAGATATTGGGCACTTTATCCCATAAATATAGCACACCTTAAAAGTATATTTCTACACACACACACACACACACATATCGACTAGCTTCATTGACTTTTTAAAAAAGAAAACCATGTTAGTATCTTTCTATGTTAGACTACATTTTTCTTCATATATTTAAAAAAAATTCAATAGATTTTAATTTTTAATTTCTAATTTTTTAAATTATTTATTTTTATACAATTTTAACATTTTTATGGCATAATAATTATGTATATTATAAAATTACAGTTGCACAGTATCAACAAAATAAATTGCAGATATTTAATAATCTGGACGCAATGCCTCTTGGGTGGAAATTATGACTTTATTTCATGTAATCGACATTTATTTTCCTTATTTTAGTTTTATTATTAAAACAAATGTTGCTCACACGAAGAAAACAAACATCGATTTCACAAAGAAAGCATATCGATCACACAAAGAAAACAAATATCCAGCTACCGAAAGTGTGGTTGCTTTGGAGACGTGTTGCGGCGCAAATATGCTGATTATATTGGCCTTCAAAAAGCGCCGAAAAATATCTCCGCAAACGACCACTTAGTTTTTACGCGACACGTTCGGCTGTCTTTCCGCCTGGTCGCTTATATACATTTTGGAAGGGTCCAGAAGGCCTCGGTGCGAAACTCGGTTCTGTTAAAATCAAAAGTTTCATTGTTCTTTTGATTGGCCAAAATTATTTTATTTATTTTCAGGTGTTCCTTTCTTTTCATAGCGGACGCGTGGAGTCTACCTTGTTTTGAATGATTTCTAGTCACGTTTGTCGTGCTCCCGACATCTTCTACACAAACCAGCTCGACGCCTACATCCACTATAACCAAAACAAAATGAATAATATATTATGACCAGTCAGAGCCACTCCCGCTCAAAAATCAAAACTTTAATTTCGAGCAAACTTAAAACTATATATACCCAAATTCAAACAAAACCTACACAGATCAGCGTTTGATGTCAACACCGACACGCTGGGAGAGAAACGCCACTAACGACGACGACCACCACCACTACCACCAAGTGTCCAATTCTCTTCTAATTTCAACACTCTCTCTCGGTGTGTGTTGCATTAGCAACAGCAACAGATAGAAGTTATCAGTCTTTGTATATGTCTATATATAAATAAATTATACATTTATTTACCTCTAATCAAAGCCCTATTTTGTTTGACGCTTGGATTTACGTTTGCCGAGGTGAAGAAGGAAGTAACCTCAACAACAGTAACAACAACAAGGTTCTGTCTTTCAGGTTACCCATTTCTGCCTCTGCAACACATTTCGCAGTTGTCGTTCAGTCTTTTCTCTCTTTTTTCTTCTTATTTTTATATGAGTTACCATTTCATTAGTTGAGAGAGAAAGACAGAGGGAAAGAAAAAGAGATTTGGATTATTAAGGAAAGCAAATGCCTTATTTTAATTTTAATTTCTATATTTTGACACGCCACATGATCACTTTTTGGACGATTATTACTCCTC